ATAGAAAACACAAATTTCACATGACCTGTCAAACTATATTTTAACTGGACAGAAGTAGGAGAGACAAACATGTGACAAACAGTCATCATGTCACTTAATCCATGTAGGAGGACATGAACATCCCAAAGTGGTGAGCACAATGTAAGAACTCAAAGAAGACAGAATTTTATTAGGCTCCTCTATCTATAATCTGTAGCACATACCCAATATTTTTTGATTAAGGTCCAACTTAAAAATGCATTAACTTTTTAACTGAGAACATGTCTGGGAATCAGCAGTTCTGATGATCTCAGGCAAAGCATGGGAAACAATGCTGGATTGCAAGCCTGCATTTAAGGGGAAAAAACCCTTTGATCTTTCACTGTATAGGCACAGATAGACTATCATCCAAATGCGGAAAGGCTAGAACTCTCCCATCCAAATGCATGCAAAGGGGGATGTCAAACCTCTTGAGGCTCGTGAAAAAGCTTGTCCCTTGGGGAAGCCAAGGCGAGCGCTCCCAGGAAATCAGAGGGAATTAATTGAAAGCTTCTGGAGATCTTCCCTTTCTTTTCTACAGACCTGAAAGTCTAGGAGACAAAGAGGAAGCTCCAGGCTGAGTTCTCACCTTATTCTCCCCAGCTCCCTGAAGACCTGCTGGCAGATTCCTGTTTACCAGGACATTAGCTGAGGAGGAAAAGGAGGGAGGTCCTAATACTTCCTTTCTGCTGCTTCTTCCTGCACCCTTCAATTCCTCAATGTCCTATTCCTCATGCTCAGGGCATCAGAAGTCTTCTAAGAAGCACAAATCACAGTGGAACAACACAGCTCCTGAAGCAAAAAGAACGGGACAGAGAGCACGGAGGTTATGCCAACTTCCAGAAAGTCGCGAGGTCAGCTTCAGCAGTCCTGTGCCAAATTGCAAATCTGGCACCGATCTATTCTCTGCACACAGCACAGCCTCTGACAATGCAAAGTGAGGCACTGAGCCCTCAGCAAGTCATACCCACTAGCTTGCTCCCAGACAGCAGCCTTGGGGCCCACAGTAATGAGGGGGCAGCGAGTCCCCACTCCACTGGCATTGCAGTTGTTTCAGGACTGAAAAACAGACAAGCCACTTGGGTTGCAAAAGCCTTCTTGTCCTGAGGTTCTCCCTCAGGAATCCCGTGGGATAGCTGTGGAGGAAGCGTGTATGGTGCTTTCTTGGTCCAAACTGGATGGAAAGGACCTGCAGCCTAGGAGTCTTATCCTGCATCCACTGGAGGAGTTTTGGATCAAGCCAGTGGGCTAACTGATTCTTCAGCAGCTGGGATCCATTGCTGAGAAGTTTCTAAAACCAAGCTGTGACAACTATCGGTCTAATGGTGATATTTTTGGCACCAGCTCGTTGAGATGGATTTTTATTTTCTTTTATTTTTTTGAGACTTCAGATGTATTTTCTATAATTCATAGAGGCATCCTTAGTACAGAGAAGTAATTAGCAAAGCTTCCACTGGTTTTGTGGGAGCAGAATCTCACCTTCCACCTTTCAAACTCCAGAAGGGTAATGTGTTTACTTCAGGGCCCTCAGGAAACCCTGCAATAACAGTGCTAATGTTGAACTGCAGAGCCTCTCTACCTCAACACTATTTCTTGGAGGCTGACATCTCCTTCTGCCCCCACACTCTCAGAGGCCCTGAACAAGAAAAGTTTACCTGGATTTGGAACACATTCTTGGCCTCTTATTTTATTGCATAATTTAAAAATATTTTTTTCTTTTTTATTTTTTTTTCCTTTTTATTCTAATCTAGAAGGCACCAAAGTTGATTGTTAAAATCATGGGATATGCTGTGACTGTGGCCAGAATGGGTTTGTCGTCTCTGACACAATTTTCAGGTGAGGACTGTTTAACATGTGTTATTTTTTTTCCATCTGCTGGTTGTATCTGGGGATTATTTAGGTTGAATTCAAAATCTGTCACAGACAATCTTTTGTCATCTGGATTGTTGTTCTTCTGCATTTAACTTACATAAATGGTGTGCACTTCACAAGAAAAAGAAAAATTGGACACTCCTTTTAATGCATTCTGTGTTATATAGCCACCTCGCTCTATGGAAATGTTTTTATTTCAAGTAGCTGGGAGAGAAAAACCTTCCTAACTTTGAAGTGTTTTTTATTGCATTAAAGAGAGAGAAAGAGAGACTGTCAAATCCCATTTCATTTTTAAAGTTAACTGTAAAGTTTTAATTAGGTCCTCTGAACAAGGATTCTGTGGTACTTTATGTTGAAGAGTTAGCAATAGTACACGATCCACCAACTTCCATCATTAAGTTCAGTTGACAAAGGCCAACACAACTCTTTTCTTTGTAACTTTGTAACCATTTATGTTTGAGGTGAAGATGTTAATACGGAAATTTTGTGAGCTGGGAACGACTATGAACTCTATCATTGTAATTTATGACCTTTCATCTAAGGCCAAATGTAAAGGCAATTGCAATTGTTCAGTATCTCAAGGCCAGCACATAGCAGATGTATGAAATTTGGAGTGTTAGACATAAACTTTTATTACCAAATTATAAATAATTTCTACCACTTACAATGTTCACCTTTCAAGTTCATCTTGATTAAAATGCAAGGGCAGCATCTCACTGATTTCCATGAGTTACATAGCTGAAAAAGCCCTGTCGTAGTAGACTATGAAAGGATAAAGCACTGCAGTTTTTAAAAGAATCTACTGATAGCAAAGTATGTTACATTTTAGATAAAATCCTTTTCCATCTAGATGATAAACAAATGAGAATTATTAGCCAATGACGTCTTAATTTCATTTTCACTGTTGAAGCTTTGAAATCTTTAAGGAGTACACTTGAATGTGGGTTACTTAAATCCTTTGAAGACCACCTTCCTGAGGTCACTGGGGTTTTTTTCACTCAGGAAATAACACATTCTTTAGGTTGCCTAATAACAGATGTGATGACATAATCTTCCTGAATGTACAAGATGGGAATTGTCTTCCCAGGTGCGAATCACGCTACATCAAAGTGCTCAGCAACATATGCCTTCCCGCGTGAAGGTTAATTTACCACTAGGAACAGCACGTGACGCTGCTTTGAGCCCTATGGCAAACCAAGGAAAATTACCTACGATCTGGGTTCCTGACTTGGTCTCAAACCAGAAAAGATGGGAGCTAAGGATACAAAACTTTCCAATCTTAATGCCCGTGATTCAAAATAGACGTGTTTGTGAGGTTAATAGGGTATGAAGCATGAAAGTAGAATTTTGTTGACTGACATCAAAAAACCAAAATATCCCCACACATAGAAACTGTAACTAAATATACGCCTAAGCTAGCTAGAAAGCAGCCTATTGAGCAGAAGGCAAAATAGCTCATCAGGTTCTGATGGCTAGCAAAAATAAATAAATAAATAAATAAATACAAGCTATAAAGACATACTCATAAGAAATCAAAGAGGAAGGCTCCCAAACCATAAAATATCCCTAGTTGGACCTGCAAAATCATCATGAAAATTTACCAGTCGAAGCATGGAAAATCTGCTTACCCAGTTTATATCACAGAGATCGATAACAAGAAAATCCAGAACACTCCCTTATCAAAATATCATGCACTGAAGCCAGGCGGCCAAATAAAACTTTGCAAGCCTGCTCCCCTGAGTAACTATTTCATGTTCCTTTTCTGCTTCAAGTACTAGGTATAATCAAGCACAGTTGGATGCTCCTGATTAACATGATGGTTGCCTGGAAACATGGGCACGACATGGCCCAACTTTCCTAGCTGTGCCTGTGCTTGAACTCTGGGACAGTCAGGTGAGCTTGGTCGGGTTTGCAAACCTGGACGCTTAAATCCTTTTAGTCTCAGCTTTGGGGGAAAAGGCGTTACTGGATATGTGTTCAAAAAGAGAAGATAAACAACTCCAGAAGGGAGAATATAAATGCATGTTCTGAAAAACCATAGCACATTTCTTTTGTATCACAAGAATTAAGAGTTTCAGCAAGATACTGAATCAATACTGGAGGAATAAAAAAAAATCCAGTTCAGAAGCTTTCACAGCTGATTAACTCTTGTCATGGTACTAAATCCCCTAAAAAAAAAAATATTTCAGACATCAGGGGATAGCTGGTGGAAAGGGGAAAAGATGGGTGAGAAGGTGGGGAGAAGACAAAAGTTTGGCTTCTTGTTGCGCCATGTTCTTCCCAGGTGACATCTGAAAAAAAATATCTTAGCTTCTATGGTCAGTAATTCACCTGTAAAACAAATGGCGTAACGCTTCCCTATCTAGCTCTGGTGCGGACACCTACACCGAGATCTGCCAGATAATCACTTATTTCTCCGATAAGGCCCGTGTAAGACAAGACCATTTTGGAATTAACAGGGTCTCATTAGAGTAGAACATAATGATATACCGCATCATATGATTTTTCCCTCAGAAATCATTGCAACATCATTTTGGGCGTATGCCTAAACAAGCCATAAAAAAAGTGCATCCCCGTGAAGAAATCCGAGTTTAGCGGGTCCCACGGTTGAACCCCTCGCAGCTCGGCCCGATGGGTTTTGGGGGAGTTTTGCGAGAAACCCACAGCGCTTTCCCGTCGCCGGAGTGCTTAAACCCTTTCCACAAGGCCGCGCGCCCCGCGCCGGGGAGCGGGGTCGGCCGGCGCAACCCACCCCAAAATCACGGACGCGGGTGGGAAACGCGCCGCCCGCGGGAGCTTCGCCCTGCGGGGGAGCACCGCCCCGGCTGAGGGAGGAGGAAGAGGAGGAGGGGGAAGGGCTTGCCCACAGGCCCCGCCCCGCTTGTTCCCGCGCCCGGCGCGCTGTGACCCTGCCGCCGCGCCGTAGCGGGGCGGTGCTGACGGAGCGCGAGCGGCGGGTGAGTGAGGGGCGGGAAGGGGAGCGGGCCCTCAGCCCCCGGGGAGGGGACCGGCGGCACCGGCCGGCCGGTGATGTGGGCCGGGGGAGGGGGGTGGGCTCCTGGGTGGTGCGAGTAGCCCCCCCCCCCCCCCCCAGCCGTCGCTTCTGCTGTTATTTTGGGGGTGGGGGTGGGCTGTTGAAGCAAGCGGCAGTAAAGCTTCACCTTGCCTCAGGGGTTTCCGCCAGGGAAGTTCGTCAAAACGCCTTTCGCGCCGTTTTGGCGGGTTTTGAAGACGCGGCTTTCGCAGCGGCACGTGAAAACAGCGTATTTACCGAGGGGGGGGGGGGTGCGCGCCCGTCTGCCTGCCTGCCTGTAGCGGCTCCAGCCGTGCTGCTTTCCCAGGGCAGCTCCGGCCCTCGGGAGCCGCACCGAGCCGCGGGCCTCCCCGCGCGGCTGACCGCAGGAAGCCCGCAGCGAAACGCCGCCGCTGAGCTGGGTGCCGGCACCAGCGCTGTGTTCTGCCGCTGGTTGGAAGCGCAGAGCGACCGTCAGCCAGCCAAAGGGCAGTCAGGCAGAAGTTAAGCGGTTTGGCCGAGGGAGGGTCCCGTACCAAACGGGGGGCGCGCGCTGCACCGTGGATTTCTAAGTCGCAGCAGCTTTTCAGGTCTCCGTGCAACTTACTCACAAGCCTGAATTCTAAACTTAATCTGATTTAACTGATTCATTTGAAGACACTCTTTCAAATTTATTCTTGGCTCATATTTGTGAGCCGAGATCAAAAATCCTTCTCCTGCTCTTCCAGCAGAGAATTCTGTGTCTAGAGCGTGCACTGGCTTCTCCCTCCACCCCCTACAAGTATGAACTACTTGTTACAGCTTAGTTCTCTAATTTTAGTAAAACCGTTTAGCAAAAGGTGTTACAGAGATGATGAGGCCTTTGGCTCTGTTGGACGTTTACTATATGCACAGTATGGCAAATGAGGATTCTTGTTTTTCAAAAGTTACAGAAATGCCAAGGGGAATGTTTAATGCTGTGGCTCTAGGAGCTCTGTCTCTTCACTTCCACCCTTAGGGTTTTGCTTTTATCTCCTTTGATATTTTCTCCTACTAAAAGTATTAAGTCAGGGGACTGCCTGTCTATACCGGGTGTTTAAAGACCGTATGCGACTGTTTTGCTTATCCAAATGTTTCCTTTCACTTCTCTTCCTAGCTTACCAAAGATCAAGATGAGCCTACGGAAGCAAACCCCTAGTGACTTCCTAAAACAAATCATTGGAAGGCCAGTTGTCGTAAAATTAAATTCCGGAGTTGATTATCGAGGTAAGTTCTCCATCTGTCCCTCTCACTGCGTAAAGTAATTGGGGAGGCTGGAACAGATGCATTGCTTTTGAAAAGCAAAACAGTGTGATCCAGAATCTTGGAGTATGTGAATGTAGATCTCAGAATGGTGACATTAAAAATAGAAAATCAATTCTGGAGAAACTGATGAAAAGGAGGTTAATGGCAGATTTAGAGATTAAAATTACTTATCTAAATCACTAGCATCCTTAGTTACAGATGGTTAGACTGGACTATCAGGATGATTCTGAGTTTCTAAACTGATGTTTGTAAAGTTTGGCTGGAATTACAATTCCTGAAATGGCCAGGCAGTCCCCTTGTCAGTGCTCTGCCTGCAACCTGTATTGGAACTACCCTTTCCTTCACATTCCTGTTCTCCAACTCCTAATGTAGACCTTGGTCCAGAAAGGCTTCAAACAGTGAACTGTGCTATCAGTCATAAGCCTACTCTTATGTGAGGGATGAAAGAGTTACGCACATTCTTGGTTAAGCAACTGCCTAGACACATGTTGGATCAAGACTCACAGAGGTACAGGAGAAACCCTAGTGTGGCTTTTGCTGCTATATGCCCAGTTCATTTTAACACAGTTCAGAAGTTTTATTCCAGGACTCTTTGGCCTGTCTGTATAACTTCATGCACTGTATGTAGGATTACAGGGTTTTTTTTAACCAGTAGATTAAATTTATCTGTTCGGCTAAGAATGTTCTAGTCCTACTCCCATTAGGATAAGACTGTCCAATTTTTATTAGTAGTATCCAAACTTAATTAAAACTATCATGTATCTCCTCTTGTGCTCAATTTAGACACTTTATTCTGGAATGACCGAAACATTATGGTTCTGCTGTAGATCACTGCTTCAGATAGGTTTAATTCAGTTGGCGTGGCCTAGCATTTGTCACAGCACAAACAGGGTCTCCTCTCACAAGGAATCTTATGATAGTTTTAAACTGTTACTGTTCACTGACAGGGCAAGCAGTGCCTTCTTATCACTTCCTGTTTCTCTTTAGTGTCTCTCAGCTGACAGAATTTGCAAACTGTAATTTCTTTGAGAAACACATTGTCTGAGCACTTCAGGTGGGGTAGGTGGCTTAAAAACTTCACTGCTTCTCATCAGCCTGTGGCCTCTAAATTCTTTCTTGCAGAAGAATGTAGTGACAGCTAATTGAAGTCAATTAAAGCAAGTCATCAGTTACCTAAAGGTACACACAAGCCAGGGCCAAACCAGATTTGGTTTCTGGATGCACTTCCTATTTTCTTTGAGAACACTGGTACCTCCTGCTCTGTAAATCCATTTGTAACTGCTGCAGATAAACTACTCGGCTCTCCCCTCAACAAAGCTAGTTTAACACACCTACAGTCTGACCTACCCAGAATTGAACGATAGTTCCTTTGAACACCCTTATTTGTTACTGGATTTTTGTCCCCTCCCTTCCTTATTTCCCTCTGTTTGCCTTCCTTCCCACTGGTGTGTTCCTGCAGTTAAAAAGCTGAATACTGTTCTCTTATGAAAAATACGCACTCTGTTTTTTTGCAGAAATTTGAACAACATTTGTAAAAGCCAAACATTAAAAAGCCAGCGTCTCAGGCTTCTGTTGCAGATCTGTCTAGATTCTCCCTTTAGGCTGTGTTGCTAATTTTGTGCCTGTACCCCCACCCTCTGAGCCACCGTACGCACAAGCGTGTCCTAATACAAGTGTTGCTGTGTAACTTGTAAAATGTCTTGATTCACTGCCAAGCGCTGCGCACGTCTAAGGGAAGAAGCCCTGGGAAAGTAATCAGTGATGAATTAATATGTATGATTTCTATGTGTAGAGATGGATATGTAAATGAAAACATCTCTAGATATAGATAAAACAGATCAAATACTAGCCATGGTGGGCAGTGCCATATTTGATGCCATTTAGCAGCCTGAGAGTAAACACAAAGAAGAGGAGGAAGAAAATGAAACAACCATGAACGCACTCTAAGAACAAAAGAGTTTAAAAATACTGCATTTATGGTCTACTAAGTGGTACCTTAAGAAAATCCACACTGTCCAATTTTAATTTTGAAGAAACATTTTTTGTTTTCTATTCTTACGTGGAGCACTTGGGATTACTGAAGTGAAAAAAGAGTTCTGACTCTGGTTTGGGTTTTTGGTGCATTTAGTAACACTTTATGAGCTGTCAGTTTTTCCTATTTGTGTGGAAACAGAGGAAAGACAAACATAAAGGAAAATAATAATACTCAAACCATTACAAGTTTTCAGGAGAACTTGAGTTCCTAATTATTTAATGGAAGATATTACCGTAACACTTCTGAAAAATGAGAACGTGTCCTAGAGGAGGATTCTCAGACTGAAGTTTTCTCTCTCTTTCCAAGTACAGCCACTACACTATATTTTGAATTTTAATGCCAGGTATGTAAATTATGTGTTTTTCAAACAGAGAAGAAAATTATTCTAGTAGTATTTTCTGTGTGTGCAAGGATGATGTCAGGAAAATATACATGCAAGATGGGGATAATTTATAGAGCTTTTTACAAATCGTTTTATGTGCACAATTACGAATCAGATTGCATTCTCTGTGCAGTTCTTTACATCTGTTCCTTACATGAATAGTCTGTTTGTTGATCAGGCAAGTTAAATTTGTAGATGGCCATGGTTCTGATCAAAAGGGTGGGTGTAGATACCCAGAAATGATTTTGAATGAAAAAATGCCATCATGCTGCCAGCACATAGGAAATACTGCGTGAACAAGGTACAACCTTCAGCTGGGGCTATGAGAAGCAAGAGCATAAATACTTGTCTAAAATTAGTGCTGCTCAAATGCATATTTTCCTGATCAAAAGAATATCTAATCTTGCAAATGGCAGAGACTTTTTCTTGAGTTGTATTAACTAAACCTTTTGCTTTTATTTTTGTGGGAAGATTTCAGTGTCATTTGAAAACCCTTTGCCTGTTGAAAATTATGTAGAGTTTTGTTTACGTCAAAGCAGAGACTTTCAGCCAATGTTCTTCTAGATCTGCAAGCATGAATATGAAAAAGTGTGTATGGTGTCCTGTAGTAAAAGGGCTGTTTTTCAGCTATATCCTTTACAAGTTTTGATGAAAACTCAATTTACAGAGCCTTGTCCTTAGGTTATCCAGTTACGCTTAATGTCACAGGTTCTTTTCGGGTGTGCAGCTTAAAACACAGGTGAGAAGGGACTACTTAAACTTTCAAAGTGTAAATTGTCAATATTTTGGAAGTCATGCTTTAATGACTTCATTTTCCTGCCAACTCTTACATCAACTGATAAAATTGCTACTAGAGTGCCTGGGGTTCCTCACTCCCAGCCTAATTCTTTGAATAATACTCTGATCTACTGACTCATCTGGCCAAGCTTCACCTCTTAGTTTGTTATGAAGACACAGGTTTTTTCAGTACTATTCAAACATAATGCATTTTCGTTTATTTTAAAGTAAGTTTAAGCTGATTCACTTTTAAACTGTCACTGTCTTCAGGTGTCCTGGCTTGCCTGGATGGGTATATGAATATAGCTCTGGAACAGACAGAAGAATATGTAAATGGACAATTAAAGAATAAGTATGGGGATGCATTTATCCGAGGAAATAACGGTAACTCCTCTTTATGTTATTGCTCACTAGAAGATTGTGCTTTGATAGTTACTTCCGAATTTAAGGAGTGGCTGAGATATAAGCACGCTGCCTGTAAGAATATTAGTTTTAGGTTTTCCTGGAAACCTTAACATGTTTACTTCTTACAGTTTCACGTTTCAGTGTCTATGCTTTTCTGCATTCCTGTGACCCTTTTGCTTCTGAACTTGAAGTTCATTGAGAGAAGCATGCTCTTTTCTAGCCCTCCTTAGAGCTTATTTCCTGTGATTCAACAGGTTTACTTTTGCACTTACTGTCTGCTTAGATGGCCTCTGCTCCATAGAAATTGCTGTGTTTTGCTAGGCAAACCACCACACAAATTTATATGCAGTACAGATATTGATGACACCAATATTTTCTTGTGATGCAATTGTCAAGACCTGAATGAATGCTGTTCATTAGTACTAGAGGCTGTTTTCATCTCTATGAGTAAGGATTTTACCACCAGTCAGTAGGTAGATTTTAGTGGACTCTGTAGGATCAGTTAGGCTGTAAGAGCAGGACATGCTGTGGGAAGAATAGCTAAAAATAGAAAAGGTTCACAAGTCAGATGTGAAAAGACTTGTAGAGAAGGTGAACGAAGCAGAGTTTGGCCAAGTTACTGGAGAAGAAAATGGAGGACAGAAAGGAGGGAGGAAATAAAAAGAAACCAGAATTGAATCCGACGTTACAAAGAGTCAAAGAGAACGTGGCACCACTGTGAAAGAGAGTTTTGGGAGGATAAGTAATTCTTGAATGAAGCCAGATGCTTTTTGCAATGAATTTGGATTATTATGCTAAGGAGTGCAGTGACTTCGCAGCTGGAGAATCAGTTATGGAAATGAGAAGCTATTCTAAAAGTTAAAACAAATGGATGAGAGGCAGGAGGCGGAAGAACAAGCTGAGCAGAGAACTTAAGACATCCCAGGTTTAGGAGCAGGATGTAGTTTCATGTTGTGCGTGGATCTGCTCTGGGGATATCACCAGCCAAGCAGGTGGAAGATGTCTGCAGCTTCATAGGTAATTGTTAGCTTTGCCTTCCGTGCTTGGGATTTCCAGCTTTTGTTGAAAGACATTAGTGTCTGACACCTGTAATTCTGCTGCTTAGAAACTCTAATGCTCCCCTCAGTAATGCTGCAGGGTAGCTGGCTTTATTCTCCCTCTGTTCAGCCTGCATCTGCTGGAGTGTGGTTTGGCTATGATTATAATAAATACTGAACCAAGGTGATACATAGCATGTAAGATGTGATAGCATTTCTTAAAACCTGGACTTGGAAGTTTCCTGACTTTGTTCAGGAAACAGGATTATTTGAACAGGATTATTTACACTGTTGTTTTACAAGCCACGGAAATAAGATGTTTCAAATAAGCAGGCTTCTGCATGTTATTTACCAGGGCCCACTTACGTGTGGTGCTTTCTCCTTTTCACAGTATTGTACATAAGCACACAGAAGAGGAGGATGTGAAGATGCCTGGAGGAGGCAGTTTTGTACTTGTGAACCTCTTTGAAGCGATGAGCCCCATTCGATTTGTATTTAGTAATCTACAGGTGAAATACACAAGTGTTTAAATATTTTTTTTTAAATAAATGTAAAACAGTGTAAACTTACTGAATGTTTTTTGTTTCAAAAACACTGCTTTGTTCCACTGTACAGAAAAAAAAATAAAAAAAGAGAAGCATGTAATAGTGTTGCAAGACTAATTCAAAGCAACAGCTTGTTTAATTATGCTAACAGTTACAGAAATACTGATGGGAAAGTAAGCAGGCACGGAGTAATTGCAAATTACAGCCTTGAATTATGGCAAAACAACTGTTTAACTGATGTTGGGAAGGGAAATGCTCATGTTTTGGTGACAATGACCTGCCTGTTTTGGAAAACATAGGGTCAGCTTTTTATGCCAGTCTAGGAAGAGTCATTGGGTAAAAAGTTCAGCTGTCCAAAAAATCCTGAATTGTGGATTGAATTGAGGAATGTAACAGTGACACTTCAACAATTAGGGATGGGGAAATAATTGACTTAAATGGAAGAAAAGCCCTAAGGGTGAAAAGAAAGCTCCCTGCTAGCTGAGGAAGTCAGTCACAGGTGAGCAGCTCTGTTGGTGTGCCAGCACAGCCAGTAGCTGCTTCACCCCCCACCTACCTCAGCTTCCAGTTACCTTTATTCCTGCATCTCTACCAAACAATGGAGTTCAATAAAAAGCAGTTTTAACTAGTATCTAAATCTACTCCTGAAAAGAGACAAGGAATCTAAAAACTTTTGTACATATGCCCATAGTATCCTCTTCAGACAGTCTGCTTCCCCTCCCCCCGGCTCCAACCTCATACCATCTATATATTCTCTTTCTTCATGAGCTAGCCAGAAATGAGAACAAATACGTTAAGCTTATAGTATGAGGTATGCATTAGGGAGAGGGAACCTCTGTGCAGGCAATGGAGTCAGAACTTATTTGTTTACTGTTTTGTACAAATGCTCCCAGATAATCAAAGCCCAGCAAGTAAATCCAGCTCATACTGATACTTATACTGAGTTATAAAATACCTTTTCCTCTTTTACATGCAGTCAGCCAAGAAAAACAAAACCTGAGCTTTCAGATATTTCTTAGTCTTAGTGTTACTGCACAACATCCAGATACTCTGAGTGTTTTCTTGTTCCTCAGGACAAAGATATAAGTTAGGAATAGTAACATTTCAGTTATCCCGGGAAGAGAATGTGGGTTGTAAATTTTTTTTTTTTTTTTAAGATCAAAGAATAATTCTAAATTATTTTGCAACCAGTAGTTCACCTTTTCACATTAAACACTTCAGAAGCCACTACAGAACACAGAAAGAGAGATGCTACTTTATAATATGATTCAATAATTTATCATTTTATGATAAGGGTTGAGAAGGGTCCAGGATACAAATCACCAACTTGCTCTTCTGTAAGTGACTTTTTTTAAAAGAAGGAAGATGTACCTCCAAATGGAGCATGCAGTTTCTCATTTGTTTTGACCTCTATATGCAGATGGCTGGTTATTGTGTGCTTTCATTTCTGGGCTCTGTCTGGATTGGTTTTTTTTCATTTTAATGTGGGGTTACTTTTTTTCCCCTCTTCCTTCTCCATCCTTCTCCCCTCCTCCACCTGCTCACCTATAGCAACACATTTTACACAGACTTTGATTTACTCAAGAGTTTACATGGCTAACTTTTAACTGCAGTTCTGTTTCTGCAAGTCTAGTTATAGAACATTTTTCAGTTGTGGTCTGCTACTTCAGATGGCCTAATCACATGCCAAACTCTGAATTTAGAAAATACTGTGTAGTTTACATGCTGAGGGTTTTTCTAATGTATTCCAGATCATGAAGTCACTACTTAATACGTGAGGTAGACAGGGAAATTTGCATTAAAGATGAGCTGTTGTAATTCATATTCAAATTTCAAAAGCAGCTAAAGAAATAAAGTATTTAATTCCCACAATCACTGACCTTTATGTACATTTTACAAGATTTTTTCCTCAATTTAATTTACAGCCCCTATGTTTAAATCAAGCGAACATTTAAGCTCAACTACAATTAGGCAGTCCAATGCTTGGATGTAGTCTGTTCCGAGTTGGGTAAAACATTCATCTTGGATTTATTTTACTTCTCTTTTAGATTTTGCTTTGACTTAGCTATATTCTGTAGGACAACATACCAGTTGTGAGTAAATCAGGCACTGGCCAGACAGCTTTCAGAACAGCACACGGAACACTATCCAAAGTTTTAAGTTGAGGCTTCCCATTATACACGTATGTAAATGGCAAAGTAGAATGGTGTATTTCACAAACCCTTGATGCTTAAAGATTACTCAACCTAATTTATAAGGACTCTATCCCATCAGGAGATACAAATACACTCTTACAAACACAATGTATCTTCACACACAAAAGGCTGTATTAGATACTAATGCTTATGTCCTTCATGTTACCTCATTTACCATATCCTAATGCTCTTGCCCCAGTAGGCATGTATAAAATGGTTTTACTTGGGGATCAAGCTCATCTAGATCAGGACTGACAATGAAACATTCCTTGAGCAACTTACAAGTGCTTGTCCATCGCTTATCTTAGAAGAATGCACCCAAAATTGAATAAACCAAAACTAACAAACAAAACTGAGTTGAATTTCAAAGACTAAAGCTGCATTCACATACATAGTGCTTTTACGGGCCGAGATCATGAAACCTAGGCAATTCAGCCACTACCCTGCCCCCTTCCACACACTCAGTTCGCAGACAGACTGTAGGAAGAACACTAACTCTGGATTAGCTACATCCCCACACCCAGTATAAGTTTCTTGCACTTGAAAAACCAAACTAAGCCACATCTCCTTAAAAGCCTGGCCAGGAGCTGCAGCACAGGGCATCCTGTGGAAACCAGAGGGAGCAAATCCGAGGTTGGAGGTGAGTACTCACCATGTGGCGAGGCAGCCAGAAGCCGGTTACTACTGAAGCCTGCAGTGCCCTGGAGTGCCCCTATATAAAGGGAGCAGAGCATGCTCGGAAAGTTTTGCTTTACACTTTACAACTTGTTGACACCTGGTTCCCAGTTCAGAGGGAATCGAATGCAAACCACACTGAACATTACTGGTTTGAGTTCCTTCCATCTTTTTCACGATGTTACAATGACAAAACAGCTACCCAGAGCCCTCCTGGGTCTGACTTGCTCGTTAAGTCCTAAGGCTCTTACCCAACTCTGAAGAAACCTGTGCCCCACAGCTGCAGGTTTTGGCTACATTGTTCACAGCTTGAAAGTGTTTGCAAAGTCAACGGCCTTCAAATGTTTGACTGGTGGTACCAAAGCAATGCCAACCCATGCCCGTGGCCGGCTCCAGCCCTGTGTCAGTTTTGAAAGCACTTCACCGTGGAGCCAGCAGTTTCAAAGTCTCAAGTTCCTGTGCCAAGCAGTTCTCCGAGGCTGAGAAATCAGACGGGAGGAGGCTTTCCCTCAGCTGCTCTACTGATCCTGCCCGAGGGACCCTTGAGCGTCCAAGAGTCAGTGATCCACACAGCAGCTTCAGGCCGCGATTGCACCACCTGCCTGGCCGTGCCTTTATCTAACAAGTTCTCATGAGAACATCCTTTAGGAGGAGTGTTGTTTTCTTGTAAGGAATCGATAAAATTAGCTCAAGTGATGAAAAGGGAGAGCTGCTCTCCGTGGACGGGGTTGCATCTGCTTTGCACAGCACACCGTGGGAAAATCCATCTGGGCTCTGGCCTATGCTACATGAATATGAGGGTGCCCAGCATCTGAAGGGATGGAACATTTACTTGCTGTTGGTATTCCTCATCTTATTCTGTCTTATTAAAGCAGTCATTACGCTTTTTGTTACTGGGCCTTTCTTACTGAATTCCAGAAAGAGCCCTGCACCATCTCTCTCTCTTTCTCCTCAACCCCCCTCCTCTACTGAGGAACAGCTGCCCAGGTTGCAGTAGTTATCAAATAAATAAAGGGTTGTTTGGGGTTTTTTTTAGGCTGAATTTGTAGAGGAAGGAGGCTCATGTTATACGTTGCATGCATATGTATGTGTCAGTTCATTCCCAGCAGCAGCATCTGAAGCCACTGTCACACTTCAGTAAGTGTGAGAGGAATAGCAAGAATAACTAACTGGATAGAAATTGAAGGACCTGCCAATACTTCTGCCAACCTTCCACCTAACTAGACATCAGAGAAACATCCCCTCTTCCCCGGTCTCTCCAGACACAGAGCCACAGCCATGCACAGGTCGACCCCGAGATGCCAGTTTGTAGGCATTATTCTCCATTCTTCCTGCGGGACTACCATGGGTTTCTTCTGCTCTCCTACTGTGACTTTTCAACAGTTCTTTTTGCAGCTGGCCACTGCTCTTTGTTTTAAAGATGACCTGAAATAGCCTTAAATAAGATGGTGCTGCCAGCTTTGTTGGTTTAACGATCAGTTCCTTGTCATCTGGACTCAACTAACTGTTGCCACCTTCAAGCTCTCTACTTCATCAACCTGCCCACTCTTCTCTAACACCCCTCAATTTTGTTCACAGGACTCAGGTGGCTGCGAGCTGACAGGGAAGGACTTCTAACTCGTTATAACCCTTACAAGCTGGCAGTAGCAAAGCATTTCTCAACCTCTCAGTGAAGTGACCAGCTTGCTCTTGAGCGCCAACTCTGGGTTGCTTGCGTCCATGCCCATATTACATACTGATCTCCACTGCATCTGCTCCACATCTGCTGTGCCCTGATGATGTGGAGATGTAGAAGCGATCTGCAAGAAGGAGAAAGTTTCTGCATCAAAGAGCCTGGGATGCCATTTGGTTTGTCATCTTTCTGTGCATTATATTGGTGAAATTTCAAGCTATATGGTTTATAGTCTATCTTAATTATCAGGCCATTACAGAGCGTACAGCGTTTTCCTTACTGCTAATTTAAAATCCCAACTGTGGGTTTTTTCTTCTAGAAACCCACTATGCAAATGCTGCTGAGAAAACGATAGGCAGAGTGTAAGTTGTTCTCCTTGCCAGCTTCCTAGTAACAAAGAAATTTATGATAGGAAAAAGGCAAACCTCTCTCTGCTGACAGCAGTGCCACGTGGTTTTCTCGTGTCTGTCTGGGCCCCGGTATTCAGAGCGATACGCAGAGCCTGGCTGAGCTCGAGTGACTCCAGCAGGTCACAGCTCTGGCCAGAGAAGGCTGAGGCAATGCTGTCCTCGTGGGTGATGCAACCAGAGGCTACGGAGAGGGCAGTATTTCTTATTGGAAACATCTGCCTGTCACTTGGCATTCAAACGTGCAGTTCGAGACTGCTGGTAGGTGCCTGTGTCCTGGTAATGACTGCGACAGGCTTTTCCCCATCTCTGAGGAGGAGGTGGTTGTGACATTTGGGTTGAGCGCGGCTTTGAAGCCACCGAGTTCCTCTGCCTGAGCGCAGGCGGTGAGGCTGAGCTCTGCGTCAGGCTGCCCTTCAGCCCAGCCCACAGGCGGCCTGGGGCTGCGTCTCCTTTGTTTGAAGCTCTCTTCCCTTCTCCCCATAACTTTGCACAGAGCTCCAGGGAGCACCCCATGCCGCTGCTTCAGGGTCTGCGTTCTGCTGCTTTCCCCGCCTTTTTCAGGTGGAAGCCAATGGAGAAATGGTCCTCACTGGAGCTGGTATAATGAAAACGTGTGCCCGATGCGCGGCGGCAGCTGAAGAAGACCGTGCAATGCTGTAACACCATGCTGTGATGCAAAAACCTACACTTACCTGGAATACTGTTTTCAGATCTGGCCACTGTGCCAGAACGGCTGCGACATGTTTGGTGTTTCCCCTGTAGATTGTCAGAGGCCTGGAGCTGCTGCTTTGTTACGCTGGAATTATAAGCAAGAGATAGTTTAGCTGAGAAATAAGTTAGTAAGGAAAATCCTTAAGAGACCAGCTGGTTTCAGGAAAGGATTAGTCATTAATATGGCATAAAGGTACTTTCTTTTGTATGTAAAGTATGGGTAGTTACAAATTGGAACAGAAGCACTAATGTACTCTTCTGCCTTCCCCCAAACTACCCTCTGCTGCCACTGACAGAAGGAAAGAAAGGCTGTAAGACTTGCATTACATCTTGAAATTCAGTGACTATAAAGCCTCTTTCAAATGCAGAGGAGAGCAGGCTGCTGAGAGCCCAGCACTACCAGTTCCCATACTTTCAAACCAGTTAAACAGATGAGAGCTGGGCTGACAGTGACACTACCTCAGCACCAGCCCAGCATCTCGTTTCACTTCTGAAGGACAGGCTGTAGAGCAGGGCAGTCTGATGGGAACAGTGCTGATAAGTGGGGTGTTAGCAAGCCTGCTTCCAGTTTTTGAGGGCACCCCGGGCAGAGGTCACCACGGTGCCTGCTCCAGACAGACTCCCACACTGGTCAGACCCCAAGCAAGGTCAAATACAGGCACCACTGGAGCTGCAGAAAGAAAACACGGTAATGTCACCTACGTGTTGGTGTATCTCCTTTAGTCATGGGACAGGACAGAGCTTTGTGGTGTTAGGCAGGGAGTGGCCTAAGCACCAGCATGAACTCATTCAGCCATCAGACACACATGTCCGAGGAGGAGGAGGACTGAAGGGCACCAAGCACTCTTTTTGCCTCTCCATCTTCAACAGCCTTCCTGCACCATGGGGCCACCTCCACCCCGGTGGCCCTGAGACATCTGATGGTCCCTCTTAAGGGTCTGCTGGCTGAAGAAAATTAAATCAGCCAGCCAGTGGGGTTGTTACTCCATTCCTCTACCCCTACTCGGGCCAGAAAGCTGCCAGCAGTTTGTTCAACATCTCCTGATAGCAGCTCTAACAATGATGAGACATTAGACCATACTCCCCATCCGTTGTGAGCAAGGAGCTGCTGGCTGGCAGTGGGGCGAGCCTGGGGCCAGTGGCCTGCGTTGGCCGAGAGTCCCGATCACCGGAGCAGTCTGCAGCGACGAGGAGGGTCCGAGGAGGAGCTGGGAAGCTCAGGGACAGGATCGGCTCCACGACCGGGCACCGGCACGGCTGCAGCATAGCTCTGTCAAGGAGCAGAGGTGAGAGCCTGCACTTAAATGCAGCTCGTGTGCCGGGGGACAGTCACACCCCCCAGACATTTAGTGCCCTGTGCCGGCTCTGGTGGGTTTGGGGGGTGTTGACGGCTCCTCCTGGCAGGGCTGGTGCATGGAATGCACCTTCCCAGCCTTTCTAGCAAAACGCTGCTTTTACTGCCAAAATAACTCTCACCTAAGTGTGAGAGACACGGGCACACTGTTTGGGGGTCAGGGACTAGAAGGCGCTGACGTGGCTTTGGCTTTGCAAAGTTTCAGCATGGAAGCTGGGGGGGTGTGGGGAGGGTAACGAAGCAAGCAAGAGTCTGATCCTCCTGCGCCTCTGCAAAGGAGCCCCAGGGTGTCCCACACAAACCCCACGGCTTGCTGCTGCCACCCCCTCCCCGCTCCACTAGGCTGCCTTTGTTTTCATTGAAGAAGCTTGGAGATTTAAAAAGGAGAAAAAAAAAAAAAAAAAAAAAAAGTGGGTGGGATGTGAAGAGGAAAACTAATATGATTAAGGCAGGATTTGGGCACTGGTGGAGAGCTGCCGTAGGTGGTGGGCATTAGCAGTAACAGCTGCTGCGCTTCCCATTAGAGGAGAAAGGGAAGAAGGTCTCTGAAAGGATGGGTCTCCGGCGGGCTGGGAGGGCAGCGGTGGCAGCGAGCCCGGCGGCATACGCATCCCGAGGTAAGCGAGGGCGGCCTGGGGAGCACGGCCTGAGCGCCGAGGGGCACGGGTGGGGAATGGCAGCACAGCCCGGGAAGCGCAGGAGGGGACGTGCTGCTCGGGGGCACTTGGAGGAGCTCCGGAGAGAAATCATACCCAGCAAGGGAGGTTTAGGTGAGCCTGGAGGGGAGGCTGACTCCACGAGGAGGAGGCATCCTGCCGCTGGTCCTGCAGGGGCTGGGATGATTAGCGAAGGCTCCTGTGACCCCCCCCCCCCCCCCCCAAACATTTTCTGGCGCTTAAGTGGTTGGAGTGGCACGATGTTCGGCTGTGGAAGGTTAAGCTGCATCCGTCTGCTCCCTGCTTCAGGCTGGGCATGAACTGCTTCATGGGCAGTGGTGGTTTGTCAGTCAGCTGGCAGGATGCAGAAGTGCTAGAGACGGAGGTGTAAGCTAGACCTCCTCAGCCTCTGGCTTCCTCTGATTTATTTACATCTACTTATTGACTAAGCATAATGAAAGCTAAGCCAGGAAAAGCTGTGTTGAAAAGAAGACCTTAGAAAGTGCTACATTAAAAGCAGGACTACCTGCCTTACAATATCCATTCCGCTAAATACTGTGTGCTTGTTTTTCACCTTCACTTTCAAAAGTGCATTCTGAAAAATAACACAGTACTCCAGCTAATCTGGAAATGTGTTTTCTGCCAGCCACCAAAGCTGAGCGGTACTAAAGTCAGAGCATACCAAATATCAAATGTCAGCCGTGTCAAGAAAATATACTTGCTTGGATTAAAAATTGGAGAATAAGGAGAAATCTTGGCATTAGCCAAAACAGCTGCCCGTTTATCTCAGCCTTCCATCACTGACTTCAAGGACAGCGTCGCTGCCTCCTCGTCAGCAACAGCAAGCCCTGGCCCAGAAGGACAAGCAGAAATGCTTCTGGGCAGCTGGGGATGGGTCCGATGGTCGCAAGCAGCGCCACGACTCCGAGCTGTGACGCGTGGGCTGCGAAAGGGTGCGAGTGGCGGCCACACGCTGTCCCTGCGGGGACACGGCGCCGCGCCGGCGGGCAGGGAGAGGCACGGTGCTGGGCACCGGCCCCGCGAGGGATGGGGCCTGGCGGCACCTCTGCAGGTCTACGGGTAGATGTTTCCTCAGTTGAGCAGGCTGTACGTTTGGGCTGGGAGTGGTGGAAGGTGCTGAGCGCGGCTGCCCCCCTAAATGCCGCAAGACATTTTAGAGAAAATCCACTTGAATGCTCCCTCCACGGGCAACTTCGCAAGAAACGCCTCTTCTTGCGGTGCCCACCCTGCCCCAGCCTCAACAGTTTACTTCAAAATGTGAAATGATGTGGGTCACCCGAGTGGCTCCGTGCACCCCAGAGATCATTTCTTCTCCTTCGTTTAAAGGCTGTGGGAAGGGCGGCTCGGGAGCTCAGCTCATTCCGAGGCACCAGACGGGCTCGCAGGCTGCGGAAGCCGCAGCGTGGAAGTGAGCCTGCCCGTCGCGCTCCGCCGTGGGATGGAGGAGAGCAGGAGAGCCCCCACCGCCGTCGTCGGCTGGGCGTGCACAACCCTCTGCTTGGTCTCCTGCGCGGCTGCCTTCTCGCACGGCGCGAGCCTCTCCGCCTGCGCTGACATGGTGCCCAGGCACCTGAGAGCGCAGCTCCACAGCCCCAGCAACAACTACGTTACCGTCCACACCAACGTGTCCTTCTATGTCCCAGGCGACAGGGTGCCAGGTAAGGGACGGCTGCTCATTCCTCCCCCTGAAAAATACACGATGACTAATTTCAGGCAGCCGGTGTTAATCGTTGTGAGGGCTGGGAAGAGGGGTAACTGTGCCGAGTGAGCTACGTCACCTCTCTCGTCACGAGGAAATGAACGTATTTTCAGAAGGATTCTGTTTGCAGCACTTGGCTTAAGGTTTCTCAGGTGATGGCCAACTCCAGGTTTTCACCATGTTGCAGATCAACTGTTTGCCGGAGGGTTTGGATGCTTTGGTCGGGATTCATTGATCTCAGCTGTGTCTCAACTATGCCAGACCTCATCACACGCGCCTCCAGGGGGTAAAGTCGCCTCCCCTGCTCCTCTGCACTGCGCCAAGGGCTCCGGGTGACTCGCCTGACTCTTCGGTGCGGTGGGGCAGGACGCCCTGTCCCCAGCATTGCTGCTCCTGAGGCAGATGCAGACAGAGCTGAGTGGCACCTCTCCCCAGCCTGGCCGCTTGCCTGCTCATCCCCATGCAAAATAAAACCCCTCCGAGGGCAGCACACAAGCTTTTGCATACATACAGGGCGCTGCCCAAACCTCCTCTCTTAAAAATGGCTGCATGCTGCCTAATGCAAAGTGGCTGGCAGCTTATAATCAAAGGGGTAAAAAAAGACTTGAGCAAACTTTGTGTGCAATCACGTGCCGCAAAGCTAAAGCCTGGCCTCCTGCACCCAGTGCATCCAAGACAAACCGTGAGGACAAAGACAGTAAGATGTTTTTGTTGCTGTTGCACAGGGTTTTCTTTTGTTTCAGTGCTACCACTGGAAACTCCATTGCAAACAATTCACCCCATGACAACGAGACAAATCCTTTCATGTCCCCTGTTTTGTCTTGCAGTGACAGTGAGGAGCACCCGGGATTTTATGGGCTTTTTGCTTCAAGCTCGCAAAGTGTCTAATGACGAAGTTGCTGGCACATTCGTCTTTATCCCTCCTGGTTCCAAACTTCTGACTTGTTTTGAAGATGGTGACACCGTCACCCACTCAGACAAGTCACTGAAGAGAAACCTGTCCTTCGTATGGAAAGCACCAGCCCAACCCATTGGAGACATCAAGTTTTTGTAAGACCGTGCTGGTTCCTAACCAGAATTTGTGTCTGCCCAGTTAAAGGCCTGGCTTTATTTTTCCATCGTACTTGTCCAGCACAGTGGTTTATGAATCTTGAACCCCATATAGCTAAATACTTATCAAATGCTGCAACAGCATTCCAGCTGGTACATAAATCACCATTTATATCTGCTGGGTAGTGCTGCTTTTTATTTACATGGTCACTATTTTCTCAGAATAAATACATTGGAAGATGACAGCCCAAGCACTTAGGGAATAGAAATATTAAGGCATAAGGAGAGAACTGTGACCATGTTGCCTATCTTTCTGAATAACATAGCCCATAGAACTTTCCTGCCTATAGGATAATCTTGTATATCACTTCTTTCAAAAAAAAAAATTAATTTAAAATTAGTGGTTTTAAAATAAGTTAAATGTAAACAGTTATTCACAGTAGGAAGAGAGAGTGAGCACTGGGTCAAAACCTGACATCTCTGTTTTGCACCAAAGTGCCAAACTGATTTGGAATGAAATTAAGCATCTTCTAACTGGCTGTCTTAGAGGAAGCACAGTGACTTTTCATTTTGGAAGAGATTAAATTGTTGTGTTTTGACTTTACAAAATCACTTAGAAGCTGCTTGGCCAGATCCTTGGCTGCTCCGCAAAACATAAGCGTCCCGGTGAGTGCCGTGGCTTGTGTATCTCATTGTGATTCAACAGAGATTCACTGAAACAGAAATATTGCTGCTTGGCATTTTGAATTTTTGCCTGTTGTTTTAGGTTGGGAAATACTATTAAAAACACATAAAACTCAAGCAACTGAATAAACCTGACCCAAACGCAACAACACCTATTCCTGGCCACCTGCTCTGATGTTTCCTTTACCCTTTGGATTTTGGCCCTCCAAGCTGATTTCTGATAGCCTCTTCCTTTTCTCCCTACCACAGCCTCTAGCAAAACTCCTTGTTAGGCTTAAAAATGTCTCGTAGGAGTCATCTGGCACAGAAAAACCTGGGTTGGTTTCCCCTTAGCTAATTCTCAGAAGCAGCTGAACAATCTGAGCTGAAATTCTCCCAAAATCTCCAGCTTAAATAAGAGTCTCTGGGTGAGCAGTTAAAGGCTGGCCAATACAGTTCTGGCACCTGACAAAAAGCAGAGGGTTAGGCAGACTCAAATATCAGAGGGCTGAGAAGAGAGACTTTTTTCTTTCGTACCTATTCTGCTGTTTGTACAAGTTATATTGACTTGTTTTAATTAGTAAATACCACTGTTGTTTCCCTGCCTACGGAAGATTATAAGCAGAGCTAGTCCAAGTTTTCCAAATGTACTTCTATCAACACAGAGAATATAATAGCGCTTTTTTTAAATATATTTAAGTTCCCACACTTTTTTTTTTTGGCTGATCTTAATTATGATTCTTCACCCCTCATCTTTCTTATGGGACCTGGTATCTTGGATTTGTAATATAAAATGTGTGAGGGGCTAATCCTTTAAAATACTTTTGCACCGCTTCTCTGTTTGGATTAAACCAGTCCTGGATAGATTAAAACAGCTGGATGTTTTGTAAAGGCTATAGAGCCAGTAAATTCTTGCCTAATTATGTTTCAACAGCATCTCCGTAGTCCAGTCATACTTCGTTTACTGGACAAAGATAGAATCTGCTATCGTGGCTCAGCGAGGGCAAAACAAAACGCTTGCTGGCAGCAGCAAGAAGCCCGACGCCGTAACCCCCGCGCCCTCGCAGGGACCAGCTGGCCCACACCCCCCAGGTACGGCGAGCAAAGGTATGGGTTTCTTACCGACCGCTTCCCGGAGAGTAGTTTTACAGCTTATTCCGGCAAACGTTGAACACAAGTGACCCCAACAAGCTGGAGGGAGCAGTTTAACTCCTGTGGCCGTCGGGGAGGTCAGTGGTGGCTGTGGCGAACTCCTTGAAGTGAGGGCATGGGTCAGCATTCGAGGTGACGGAGCCAGTTCCAAGGAGGGTACCAGAAAGATAAACAGGGTGGACAGATCTTACAATTTCAATGCAAACCCTAAAATACGACATACTTTACCTAATATCTCAGCTCCTGAAGACAAGCAAGTGCAATTAGCAATGCTATCTAAATAAAGGAACACATTTGTCCCTAAATGTGACTATTGCCCTTCAGGTACGTGTTTAGTTGTATTTATGTGGCCTCTGGTCAGTAAAACGCTCCAAGAATTTACTTATACCCAAATTAGATGTGTGTCTCAGCATTTTTGGCACGGCACCAAGAGTGAGTTTTAATTATTTTACTTGACCACAATTTAGGCAGCAGGTTTTGCTGCTTTACTCTCCACCTGGGTTCCCACTTAAAATTAAGTGACGTGAAAAATAAAGAAAGTCACTCTTACGATACTTCCTGGCAAAAGTTAGCACCAAGTAGGATTCGAAACAAGCAAACCAAAGACAACAGACTTCTGCTCCTCACTCTCTGCTTCTTGTTTTGTCTCCGTGCTGGACAAGGTCCCACCTTTCCCACGGCTGCCCCGGGCTCCCCGCCGCACAGCCCCCTGCCGCCTGCCAGCCCCACCGGCATCACAGCAACGCCGGCACCGGAGCCAGGTCTGGGGGCTGGGACAGACGCCCCTCCCGTTGCCGAGCCAAAGCAGCCGGCCCGGCCTTCACGCGCTACGGCCGGCGGGAGCGGCGGGTCCAGCGGCCGGGGGCTGGAGCCTCCCCTCCCCACCCCAGACCCCAGCATGACGGACGCCTTGCGAGGTCTCCTCTCCTGGGAAGATGCCTCCAGCTACAGCACCTTCGATGGGTAAACTACACGGCGGGAAGAGTTATTTCTCCAGCCCTCCCGGGGAAGGAAAACAGTACTAGTTTCCCTATGGGCGAGCAAGGGTCTGTGTAGGAAGGTGTCTGCGGCTGGTGGGGGGTGTGTGGGGGGAAGCGAGAGGGTGTTTGCTTGCTGAAATTTTGAGAAATAATCCTTTGGAGATGGTACGTGACAGACAGTGACAGGGAAAAAATCCAAAACCCTTAAAAGCCTGACCCTGCACTGCTCAACCAAGCGGAGGACTGGCCAGGTGACTGAAAAATGTGATTTTAAACTATTGACTGCTATGGTATTTTTCTAAAAGCGCATGCAAATATTCAGTGAAACGGTGAACTCGGCAGACCTATTTCTCCATCTGCAGGGGAAAGGAAGAAAGGATTCAAAGCAATTATGAAATCTGGGTTTGAGGATATCTGCTCAGATGTCTCAGGGGGTTTGGGCCGCATGAGCTTTCATGCGACATTTCATACTGTGGGTGAAAATGATGGGGATAGGAATAAATGATCAGATGTTATTAAAAATACAGCTCTGGCGGTGCAGAGCCCAGGGAGCCCCGCGCGAGCCACCGCGACAGGTCTCACTTACTGACCCTGCCTTTCCTCTGCCCATACCTTAGAGCGGGAGGCACTGCCAGCGCTGCCACCCCACACTCGTGTTCAGCGTGTAAGGAAGACCAGCAGGTAAGCAGTGGGGACGGGGAGGAGGTCTTCTCCAAAGACAGAAGGGTCTAAGAGAAGATGAGGATAAAACCTCTCTACTTCATCACAGCACCAAGCAGCCTACGTAGGTCTCACAAGTGACTAAAGCTACACTGAGACTGTTACAAGAGTTTTAGTTTTTTTACTTTAACTAGCAATTGGGTTTTATACCTTTTTTTTTTTTTTGTTTCCCTGTTGAGCCTGCTGCCTGGAATTTTATGAGTCCTGCTGCGAAAACAATCTAAACCAACTTTTCCATATGTAGACATGACTACAGGCTACGGGATGTTACTGGGCTGGAAACATGTGTTTTATTCCCATGGAAAGCTGAGATGTTCCTTTCCAGAGGTGCCAGATAGGTACCACCCATGACGATTCGTCAGAGGTCAAACACTCCATCTTCTGTGGGGACAGTCAAGGAAGCCCTGTCCTCTCTGAGGGCAGGGTCAGCCCGGGGGGATGGACCAGAAAGGCAGGGGTGGTGGTGATGGTGGAGTTAGGCACAAGCGAGGGGTGCACCCACCCAAGACAGCTGGGAGAGTGAGACCTGGCAGATGGGATGAGCGGGTGGGAGCACCTTTTGGGAAGGGGTGGCCTCAGGAGAGGAAGCCCAGGGTTGCAGCCTTGGGGGAGCGGGGTGGCTGCACGTATGGAAGGAGATGGGGGAGCTGGAAAGGGCATGCGAGGAATTAGGTAGGAAAAGAAAAGGAGAGCAAGAGGAGGGAGAAAAACTGGAGAATACCAGGGCTGCAGAGCAGAGAGGACACTCAGATGGGAACTAGTGGAGAAGCTGGAAAGCAGGGATGGCCTAGAGACACGGGGCATGAAGTTAGTAGGGGAAGTCCAATATGCAGGGGATGTGGAGAAGAAAAATACAAGGAAAATAAAGAACTAGATCTGGGTTGCAGGATGACATAGGAGTAAGAGAAGTAATCTCACAGAAAATAAAAGAGGAAGGGGACATACAGCAGAGAATGAGGCAGAAATATACAGGAAGGAGCAGAAGACAGAGAACAAGTATATGAGATATGTGTAACATGAGCACCTGTTGTAGCCGTGGAGAGAAGTGGACAAATGACAGAAGATGGTAACCAAAGGAAGAGTATTGCACAAAGCAAAACCAAAAGAGCATAACGAAATAAAAATGTTGAGAAATTAGGCAAGAAAGGTGAGTAGACGTACAAAAAGAAAGGACAAATGAGGTGAGAGAGGGCAAGGACTTCTGAGACAATTCCATTTTCTATCCTAAAGTCCCAAATCCTGCAGTATATCCCTGCATTATGATGTTTGCGTTTTGAGAGCAAGTGGTCCATACACATGCAACCCTAACTTTGCCAGCCAGCTACTTTACAGTTTGCAGTTCAGCCACTGGACCTCTTGTATTTACTACTGTATTTTACTAGCACCTTCACAAACCCTCCCTTCCACAAAGGATGCTCTGACTCTCCCCTACTTTGCTTCACAGCTTGCCAGGGCTCCTACTTCAGCTTTGTGCTCCTGTCACACTGTCTTCGCAGCAAGCTTTAGAAATTGCTAACAATAGTAGAGGGTGAGAGTTTTTCTGGTGTAATTAATGGATGTGTGAAAAAGCCTGCTGAGCTGGACAGGCTGGAGAGGTGCCAGCTACCGAGGGCCAGATACAAATCTCAGTGGAGCCAAAGCAAAAACTCCAGTACATTTTGCAGGTTTTGGATGGGGATCCAGGTGCACAGTGGGAGTGGAAAAATTCATTGGGGGCCTCCTAAATTGTATGATTGTTTCACAGTTAGTCTTGGATGATATCTCCAGCAAAGCCTGGGCTGCAGAACTGGCATGGAGTGGCTGTCATTTTGTGACGGATAAAATAAGGTGTGCGGCACCGGGCAGAGCCCCTAGGAACAGGAACACTCAAGAATCACTCCCACTAAAATGGGTGGTTAAGCAACACTGAGAGGCAGCAGGTTTCAAACTGGCCTGTGCAGACTGAGAAAGCAAGGCGGGCTTTGGGGAGAGTTCACAGGCTGTATGTGACTGCCCCAAAACCACGGCTGCCCTGAGTCTCCTGGGTCCCTCCACTCCACGGTTTGATTTGCAGTCTCAGAAGGGTGACACTGAATCCCAGTGGGCCCAGTGTGACCCTAAAGATGAAGCTTGGCCAGGAAGATCACGCCTGTCCTTCCAGCATGACCCTGGAGTCACTCAAGGTGGGAACTGTTTATAAAGTGGGGCTTTTATTCTGGTGATAACGGTGCCTGTGAAACACGCCACTGCCACCACCACCACCACAACAGGGGTTGCAGACCTTTCCTTAGGCAAAGCAGGGACCTTCCTCTCCACCTGTGCCCTTTGCCTCTCCCCCTTTGACCTGCTCTGCCTTGCCCCGCTGGCACCAACTCCCAGCACCTTCTCCCTCCCACGACAATTCTGATACAGATGGAGCAGGGTTGAATCTGCCTCATTTTCTAAAAGCTCCCGAGTAACCAGGGGATGGAGCAGGGTTATTCCAAGGCCAGGGGCGCCAGAAATAGAGCTGAACTGTACCGTGATGCAGGTAGCGAGAACCTAATTGGCCGCATTTCTCTTCCCTCACCGCGCATCTCGTCGCGCTTTTGCTTTCGAAGGCCGTTACCAAGAGCAGGGCCTTCTCGAAAGCCTCCCCGCGTGCGACAGCGTCTCCTCCTGCCCCGCACGTGCACACCCACCTGGGTGACGCCGCTGCGACAACCGCCTGGTCCGGCGACGCCGACGCTCCCGGCAATTTGTCATCCGCTTCGAGGCAAACGGCAGAAGGAAAGCCGGCACCGCAGGCAGAGGAGGCAGGCGCCGGGGGCGAGGAGGAGGCGGCGGGTGGGAACACCCTGCCGTGGGTGACCAGAGCGGCTCCCGAATCCGCTGTTCCTGGGAAGGGGGAAGACCCTGGCAGAGGGACCCGCCTCCTGGCAGCCCAACTCGGGGTCCTCCTGGTGTGCTCCGCCACCCTGGGCCTGGCGCTGGCAGCCGCCGTGCGCGGCGCCGGTGCCCGGCATTGCCACAAGCGGACGGAGGTCTCCTTCAGCCAGCCGGGCACCGACGTCCTCACCCTCAGAGAGAACGGGGAGGCGATGCACTTCCGAAAGATCCGGGAGAACAGCTTCGTGCTGGTGCAAGCCGAGTACAACTGGGTCAGCCCCTCGAGGGGCGGGAGGAAGACAACCATCATCTGAAACGTCTGCGACGCCGAAAGCAGCGCTACGGCAGCCGGCGTAGGTGCAAGTAGCCCGGACTGCAGAGCACAGGTGATAGGAAGCAGTGCTGGAGTGCCTCTGTGTGCCGCCATACAGGCTGACACACTCGAAGCGGCCAGTTCAGAGGCGTTAGTCGAAAGTTTCGAAGCTACAGCTGCTAAGAAAATAGAAGTTGATAGATCATTCAGTGTGTGTTACGCTTACTGCAATTAATATTGTATATCTGCTCATTAGCTGTCACTGCAGCCATGCCATACGCTTCCTCTGTTGCCTTAAGGGTGTAACCAAAAATAGAAATTCTTCCTCTGCACTGTAGTATTGTCTCCTGTTTAATCCCAGCAAAACCTTCTAGTGCTATATTTCTTTCTAGGAACTAGAAAACCCTGGTATAAATCCAACCTTTCTCACTTAGGAGCTTACAGGTTCGATTCTGTGCACTTGGTATGCCTCGGATGACAAAATATTTGCCGGTAGATTTTAAATTTCAATCTGAAAATAAAAAGCAGTAACTCATTAGTGGAGAACATTGATTCAAAGAACACTGAATTAATCTATGGGAACAAAACACAGAGTGGCGGACACCAGCTTTTGAGGGAGAAACATGTCTCCTCATCAGGTGCAAATGGAAGAAAACCTTTCCTGTCCATTTGCACCTGATGAGGAAGCTTGTTGAAGCCTGACAGCCAGCATTTACTTAGTCTTTTACTTCAAGTCAACTCAGTAACACTCTGTGCAGAAACACGCACTGAGAAGTACCCTTCCCAGGTCACTCTGGAGATCTCCAGCAAGGGCTGCGTGGAAAGTTAACAGCACCCTTCTACTCCGAGTTTGTGCAAACTTCTCTCTGACCATGTGGTTTTCTGCAGGAGGCCACTAAAACAGCCCTTGGAAAACATGAAGATCCTTGACACCTTCTAAGAAGGAGAGGTGACGACAGCAAGGGTAAAGGTTTATTTTACTGCAGCTTTGAGAGAGCCAGAAATAGGCCTGATAATGATCCTCTCGAGACGTACATTTTACAGCCTTTCAGAGAGCAGGAATCACCCCTTCTGGTGTCCTCTTCTGAGGTGGAAGGGCTCAAATGGTCCCCAAGCTGTATAACGGGGGACAGACTTAAACTTTGGCGCTGCAGCTTATCTGGCAGCCGGCAGCGATCACCCCTGAGCTAAGCTGATCATGACAAGACCCTGATGGCTCACACATCCTTCCTGGTGACAATTTCCCCCTCTCTCAGGAGGGCCCTGTGACCATCTCCAACTAGCTGGCCATCTTCGTGCTTGGTAGTCAGTCAAAGCTCTGCTCTCACATCCTCCCTTACCTTGCCATTGACCCACTGAGGAGACAGGTGGGACATGACGAGTTCTCCCATTCAAACCCCTGCAGTGTGACGAACATTGTGCATCTTTTGCTAACAGAGCCTTCTATCAGCATTCAGAAAGATCTGGTTTCTGACCACTGCAGTGTGATTAGTGCTGTGATGCTTTGCACTACACACGTGGCCAAATTTCCGTCGAGTTAACTTCTAGGCCTAGTAAGACTTCGGCGAAATAAATGAGTAAGAAAAGAAGTGTACTCACAAATGCTGCTTGCAGAGATGAGCTTGATGGTCTTAACCATTGCACTTTGAAGAGAAGGGTGGCTGCACCATGGCCCTTTTACTGCAGAGAAACCAAAGGTAGTGCTGTAATCAAAAAGACATTTGGTTTAGGACTCAAAAGGATGCTGGGTGAATGGTTTATGTTCAATAAGTTGAGCTTAAGCACTACCTACTAGGAAGTCTACAGGTTTTTAAGTCCAAGCCTAGACACTTACAATGGCTTCCCTCTCCCGTGTCACGTGGCTTAGAAAGAAATCACGTTTCTGTAACCCAGTGTAGCTGAACTCCATGGCGACAAAAGCAGACTGCATTCAAGTAATTGATAATGCAGCCAAAAAAATCCTAATTAACTGAGAAAATAGGTCAACAAAATCCTAAATATTTAAAGAACTATCACATATTATTTTAAAAAGCTCTTATGATGGCATAGCTGTTTATGAATAAATTACAAATACCTATGGCCTCTTCCACAATCTCTCTAGGTTTAATGTTACCATACTGCTATAGCTATAAAACTGTAACCTTTCTCCCCTCAGCTCTTTCCTCGTGACCCAGAATTGCTTCTTGCCAGGCTGACCGGAGCAAGCGAAGACCTCATGGAGATGTTTGATTAGGATAGCAGCACTCCACCACCACTCTGCCTTCTGCCAAGCTCTGCCTTCTGTTAAATTTATGCAGCTCCAGTATTATTAGTAGTAAAACCAGTAATGGTGAGCTCTGAGGGACACAGCTCCTTTGAATTAGTAATGAATTTTGCTACTTTGCAGACCTGGCTGAGACCTAAAGTGCTTCTGTTTTTTTTTTTTTTTCTTGACTTCTGAATCATGTTTCGTTTATTGTAGTTGCCACGACAAGAGGGATGGAGGTTTCATCTCTTTTTAAGGCTGTTAAAAACATGGGCACGGATTAATTTATTAAAAGGCAAACCATTCAAACATTCCCATTCTTAAGTTACTTGTTTTTTATGAAAATTCATCTGTGCTCATGTCTGGAACAAATTTAGGAGAAAAGAATGACAGAATTAGGAGAAGAAAGGCATGAACCATTCTAACATTTACTGGAGGGACGAGTGAAAGACTTCCCTTGTTTTCCATGGCTGTGTTGGGCACAGAGGTTCTGATGGAACAGGGGGGACTCAGTTCCTCCAGTGCGGGTCAGCCTGCAGCCGTCTGTGGCCTACGTTAGGCTGCCATCCCTCAGCAAAGGGACAGGGCTTTGGGTCACACTTACTGACCAAAGGTGTGGAAAGCAGTTCACAGTCAGCTCTAATCCTGAGCCTGTCTCCCCACCAGCCAAACAGGCATCAAACGCAGTTTTGGCAGTGAAAACTCCTATGGCTTAAATCCTCTGATGCCATTATGATGCTTGAACTATACTAATTGAAAAAAAAAAAATTAGAAATAATTAACTTGCATACATATGTGCTGGTTCATCACGCCTTTACTTGCATATTCATTTTCCTGTCTCATGTCACCATGATTCCTGCTTTCCCTCTGCTCCAAAAAAATATAAACCACTGCCCCTAAACTATCAGTCCTGCACTTTGCGCGTATAACACTGTTGCCTATTCTTACTACTTTTCCATGGTATCTGAAATCACTTTGGTTTTGCCCATTATCAAGCCCTTCCATAAGTCTGTTCCCCCTCTGCTTCAGAGAAGATGTCTCCTGCAGTGCTGCATCTGCTCGATTAAAGATGCCCACCCCAACTGCAGTTAGCAGAGGATGGCAGCCCTCTGATACATTAGTGGCACTAAACGTAATGTGGAGGGGTTGCATTAAGCGACGCAGTTGGCCCAAATCTTGGTTAAGTCATCACAGACATTTCCTGCTTTGGTTGAACTGTCACTAGTAAGAAAAAAAGCCAAACGTGCATTGATTTGGTCAGCTCTAAAATGGGTGACAAGATTAGCAGGGGAAGCCACAGGGCCCTGTGGGAGCAGCCCTCAGCGTCAGCAGCGATGCGCGAGCTCAGGCTCTCAGCAGAGGCAGTGCTCTCCCCAGAGCAGTGCAGGATGAGGCCCCAGGCATTACGGAGAGCTGGCTGGGTGGCTTGGCCAGCCCTTCTGGCACAGTTTTGCAACTGCTTAAGATCACACAAACCAAGGGAAGCAAAGCAGCAACGCCAGGAACCTGGAAAGTAAAACATTCAGCGCGTGCCCCAGCAAACCGAGCACGGGGAGATGACACCTGGGTGTCTTTTTGAGGGGTGAAGATTCATCCTCTCCTTCACTCTTGAGGGTTTGCCCCTGCTTCTGCCAGCTCTCCCTGGGGGAGCTGCAGATGCATGTGTTACTTATCCACTCAGATTTAAGTAGCAGTGAGAAGTGCCTGTAAAAAGATGAGGAGGTGCTCTTAAGGACTCCTGCAACATCCAGTTGCAGAAAGACAGCTGTTTATTTGCTGCCCTTGGACCATGAGCCGCTCAGGGATCTCTCCCGGCTCACCCCCACCCCCACCAAATTGTTTCCCCTTCGCAGATCTCGTCGCAGCAGCCTTCTTTCCTCATTAGCGCCTGTGCGACTCAATAAAGCATTTTGTTCTATGATATATGAAGGATCGTGCCTCAAACCACATTTTACTGTATATTTAAGTGCATGTTTTGCTGATTTACTGCTGTTCTAGAGAACGTCTGCCTTCCTGAGCAGGGCAGGCTCATAAAGGATATATCAGCTCTGACTAATGATTATTAGTACATCCCAAGGTTATGTACCACAATCAAATAATGTGTAGGAGGGAAGAGAGGCTCCAGCTTACTCGGCTGAGGACAAAGATCACGGATAGTCTCTTTGAATCTTCAGATTGCAATATCCATTACAGATTGCCACCTTCTAATGTCAAAGCATAATTTGTTGTTGGGAAAATGTGTCGCTATTTCAAAGGCGAGTCAAAGATCAGACTCGCTGTATATCAGCGTGCGTTAGAGTGTGCATTAGGAAGCGACGGCCAGGTACCAAGGACGTCAGGCCTCTGGGATGGAGGCAGAAGACGTGACTTGCTGATCTCTATTATGCAAACGCACAGCCCAAAGTGGAAAGATATTTAACCCAGCCCAGCAAAGCGTCACCAGTAGTTCCCAGTGCCTAACGCGGCGCAGACACCACGCGTCCGACGAGTTCGCCGCCGCTCCAGCCCCACGCAGGGAAAGGGCCCGCTGGGGAGGGGGACGCCGTGAGGCCCCACATTCCCAATTTCGCCCCATTTTTTTTTGGCCCCGCCGCTCGCCCCCGCGCCGCCGCCAGGGGGCAGCCTCGCCCCGGCGATGGCGGCCGCGCCAGCCCCGCTTCCCGCCCTCCCCCCGCCTCCCCTCAGCCCGGGCGCCGCCATCTTCTGAGGGCACGGCCCCGCCTCGGCGTGCCCAGCGAACCCCGTGGACGTGGGTGGGGAAGAAGCGCGGAGTGGGGAGGGGTGGGGCGGGAACCGCTGAGGCCCGGCGGGAGGTGAGGGGCTGGCGCTGGACACGCCCTGACAGAGGCGAAGGGAAGAAGCCCAACTGCGCTGGGCACTTTCTGAGAACTTACTGCAGCCCGTTTTGGGGCAGGGAAGGAGCCGAGCCGTTTATTCATTATGCACCAGTTACGTACAGTCTCCAGCTGCGGTCGACTTGCAAAATCCCCAGTAAAGCGAAGGGCGCAGACGTGTTGAAGGAGCCATTTAATAGATTCCTAGAAGCGAAGAATCCACACTCACCAGTGCTCTGTTGCTTTCTGAACTGCAAACAAACAACAAAAGTAAGGCCCAAGACAACCATCAGCCCAAGTTTTTCACTTCAAGTCAAAGGACTGACTTGACTTTTGATTTTTCAAAGGACAAGTATGATTTTAGAGCAATAATGTGCAGAAAAGATGAATAGCACACTTGGTGATCGGCATGATTTATTTGGCAAAGTCTATTAGTTCTTTCTGGAGCAAATTAATAATTCTTATCTGTTTGTCAGTGGAAATTTAATGTAGGCTAAGAAGTCATTGCGAGTTTTCTTCAGATAGAAGACTGTTCAAAACAACAAAAAAGATGAATTTGAGAAAAAAGAAAACTTAATAAAGTCTTCTTTAAACAAAAACCACTCCAACGCTTGACTGTTAATCAAAAGAACATTACTTATCTTACTCAGCATCACTGAAACCAGAATCTGGCAGCATGTTTTAAAAAGGAACCCTTTTCTCTTTCTTCACAGTCATCATTTATAACAGCTGAATTACTGGCTATAAATACTCTTTTCCTTCTGCTAATGTATTGTGCTTCTGGGATTGTTCAGAGCAAACATTTTGTTGCTAAGACAATAAACTCCTAAATTGGGCCTTCTGAAAAAAATGTCAAGCACATTCGAAGCAGCAGCTATTCAAAGAATACCGCTATGCCACCTTAACAGAGTGAAGTTTTATTTTCACTGGTACTGAAAAATCCTGAAATTTCTCACTAAATTTATTTTTTAAACATAAGAAACTGCTGCTTGCATTACACTAGAGCGTATTTATGTATATGCCCAAGATAAAAATACAAACGGGATGATTACTTTCAACAGCAAACTCTGCTAAAGAGCTAGGCAAGCAAAATACATGCTTAAATATATGTAAAATATTAAATTATAGAATATAATGGTTTAATATACATCCTATTATAGAGAACGGTTTTTCTACAGGTAACATGCACCTTAAAAAAAAAAAAAAGCTCTCTAAAAGTCTTCAAAAAATCAGGTACCAGCAACGTTTGACTTTTCTTGGTTTTTAACCAACGTCTCAATAGATACTTTAAATGAGATTATTTAGGAACATTGATATGTGATAGTATAGCTGTATTCAGCTCTTTATGCTCTGTATAATCAGAGAGGTTACACATGAGTGTTACGCATCACAAATACGTGTTACCTGATCAGGAACATGACAAAAGTCAGGCTCCACAGACTGCAGCGCTTTTATTCTGTTCCCCTGACTCGCACAAAACCTCACGTCTCACAACTCAGCTGTTTTTACATTGGAGGGGCTGGAAAGAGGGGAGTTTGCGAGCACGGGGTGGCAGGACCCGGGGGAGTACTGCTCCCACAGCTGTGGGATTTGGCTCTGGCTCCAGGAGAGATCTGTGCGCGACGCTCGGTGCTCGCAGACAGCCGAGCTGAAAAGATACAGGCTTCCCACATTAACACTCCATGAGCTGCATCCAATAGAGTTATCGTATTAGCTGGCTTAAATTCTGTCATGCTCTTATTTTTAGTATGCTATTACACCTCTGGGAGATATTTTATTTATCAAGGAATTCGACCTAAACAGATGTTGTAGTGGTTTTCTAAAGGGGGCTTTAGGCAACTCGCTGTGAGGTACCTGGAAGGCTGCATGTAGATTTTGGGGAAGGGGCAGAATGAATGTGTGAGCCATGCAGGTGCACCAGCATCTTTTATAGTCCTGAGCCTCTGTTTGGAAATTACAGTTAATTTTTCAGACAGTGATATAAAATTTTTCACTGAAAATGTGTCATTTTCATAAAGAAAAATACCGAGGTTCTCCCAAAAGTTAATTTAAAGCAACATTATGAAACAGAACAAGCAAGAATTTGCTGAAGAACTTGGCAAAGCATATCATGCAGTAATAGAGGATTGCCCAAAGGACAAACAGTGACTATAACAGGTACAGCAGTGAGCTGCGGGCCCGTGTGTATGCGGGTGTTTTCATTCAGGGGAGCTGCGAGTCCGAACGAAGAACACGAGAACCTTAATTTGCATGGGTAAAGTTCTTCAGTGTCAGCACAAAAGCCGACTTCTGCTTCCCCCAAGCAGCCCTGGTTTCTCACTCACGGTTATCCTGTCATGCTGCTACAGGATGGGGTCTCTAAGGCAGCATCCTCTTAGAGAGGCTCTCCAGGCACATGAGAGCATCATCTTGGTGATAACACCAACAGGTTCAGTTAAGGACAGCTAACGTGGAGAAGCTAAAAAAAAAAAAAAAAGGAGGGGGGGAGGGGATGTTGGAATGAAAGATAGGGGGAAAAGGCATTTTATCACTTATTTCATCACACACTCTTGACAAAAAGTGGCAAAACTACATGGGGAAGGCACCAGGAAGTAAGATAGAATTTTGTAACATCTCGGTTATAGGCTGTGCAGCAGACAAAGGACACTGATAGGGAAGGACTGCAGCCACAACGCTAAGAAAGAGAGGGAGCACAGAATTGCAAAAGCTTCTGTCAATAGAATTTCATACCCAATTATTGGCACAGGATTCTCAAATTTTATTTCCTGTAATTCTTATGGCAAAAGGCCAGTTCTCACATGACCTCCATAATTTTTGTAATACTATCAATGAAATGGTCTTTCCTTTGAGGCAGCCCATTTTCTTCCCTTTTAAGAGAGCTGGTTTCCCTTAGCATTTGGAACCATTTCGTAGGAAAACTGACAATAAATAGTAAGTTTTCTCTTACAGAGATGAACTAACAGCAGCATGCTAGCATCTGCAAGCCATTGATTTTGTTAGTTATACTGGATGGAGCCCACCCACAGAGGATGCCATCCAAAGAGGCTTTTTTCTTCTTAACTGGGTGACAAATGGTTGGGCCAGGTGGCAACAGAACACAGGTAAAGAGCGGACGATACGCACCAGCATGGGATCCTTCGGAGACGCACCGCCTCTTCTGTGTGCTGCAGCTCTTGGCTATCGTTTCTCTCGCTGAGCAGGGATCACAACCAGTTTCTAATTTCATGCCTGCTTCTGGTCTGTGCTAGCAACATAGTCGGAGTTGATTTGAACCTACCAGGTAGCCTAAGAATTAACAGGTTATTTTATTACTTAACAAATCCAGGTGTTGGGATCAACTCAGTGGGGCTCTTTTCTGCACAAGAATGCCAAAGGCCCTTGATCTACCTGCCTGAAACTGCAGTCGGGTAGGCAGCAGGGAGCAGAGCCCGATTCAACAGCAGTTACTGCTCATTTTCTTGTCACTCTATAGGTCACTGGATGGCAGAAACGCATCTAAAAATATTTTGAAAACTTGGCCTGTGCTGATGAGAAAATTGTGGTGACTCATGCTCCCATCAGCTCCAGACCTGATTACTGCAATTTGATGGACTGAGAAGCTGATACTCCACCGAGACTGCAATTTGCTTAGGGGAGCAGCCGAGAGGCCTCACTGGCACCAGTTGCTTCCAACACATCTCTCTTGTCCTTTTAATCGCTAACAAATTTAATTTCACTTCTCACTGAAGATCTCACTCTCCACATTTCTGGCAAGAGAACAATTCAGAGGCTGCTTTCATGACCTCTGCTACAGCACTAGATGCCAGCATGAAGCAGACCCCCCTGTAGCAATGCCTCGCACCCACATTTCCTGGCATTGCTTTCTCTAGTCCTCCACATCTAAAGCCACTGGATAGTCCTTGTCCATGCCACTCCAGAAGATTACTTACCATCCTGCAGGGTGTTCTCTGTTGAATGAGAATTTTACAGGAACCGTACACATAAATGTTGAAGAATTTAATTCAAAATGCCTCCTCAAAGAAGTCACAGTCTAATGATCACAAATGATAACACAGTTTAAGTAAGAAAACGGCAAAGAGAAGACAACTTCCCTCTTCTGACATTGTTCTGATATGATACTGTAGTGTTTGTCTGAGAGATTGGGGCTACCCATGGAAATAGGGACAAAAGAGATTCTGTTTGTTAGATGCTGGAAAGGGCAGGCCATAAAATCTAAAGTAAAATACTCTTCATTTACTCTTGTCATGTGCTACATTATCACCGAGCTTTGTTAGAACAATGGCAGGGCTTTTCAAACGGCTTCCCTAGGGAGACCGCCCTGCAGCTTAACAGCCCTTTCACTGGAGATGTGCAAGTGTAACCAAGGGCAGAATTTAGTCTCTTGTCTATTTAATGGGTTTGCGAGGGACTATGTGTTCCTGGCACTTTATAATAATAGTAATATAAATGCATTTGGATTATAACAAAATGGAGAAACTATGATTTAGCCCTTTACTGTGCTGCAATTCCCAAATGCATCAACATCTATTTAAGTGCAAAATAGTCTACAGTTTACAAATACAGTGCTGCAATCATCTGCTGTAAAGGTTCTGCATGAGATTATGATTCAATACAAAACACAAATCAGTGTCTGAAATTTCATTTTTAATGTCAGAATAACATCAAAAAAGTAGCTCTTTCTCCATATGCAGTCTTGCAAAAAAAATGTATACCAGAGACTTGGTCCTTTCTAGTGATTTCTACATACATAACTGCTCATCTCTTATGCACGTATGCACTTGCACATAAATAAATGTGCTTGAAGACAGACAATATTTCATCTTGCCTTCTAACCTCCTGCTGTCAAGATATTTCCACAGAAAACCGTACACAAATAAAACTAACAGCTTCTCTTTCCCTGACTGCCAGAATAAGGTTGGGGACTGTTTCTGTAAAACCAAACTGCTGGATTACTTTCCTTTTGCTCTGTGAACAAGCACAACTGTGCAGCTTCTGCTGAGATTGCCTTTTCTGTCATATAACCTATTCACATTAATTAAAGGATCTATGAGAAAAAACACCACCACAATTTAAGGATCTATAAGAAAAAACACCACCACAATTTTAACTATGTAAAAAATGATTTGTCTTGGACCTACTACCAGGGCCATCAAAAGCTGTTCAATTTAGTGCACAAAAAGGGAAACAAAATGTTTGAGTAACTCATCACAAAGTGCTAAGACTTCCTGTGACCTCTGAAGTGCTCTTTTATTGTTTGGGCATTTTTTTCCTCTGCCATCACTAGACGGAGTTATAGATATGCAGAAGATAAGTGTTGATGATCATGAAAATCCTTCTGTTTTAACATGGGCAAAGTTCTCATTTACCACCAGTTTTGCCTGATTACGTTCAGTACCAGGTATCTCTCAGTTAAATTTAAAGCCAGGAAGTTGAAAAGATTCAGAACCATTCTAATCCTCTACTGAAAAACTTGTGGACTTCAAGAAATTAATTTTCAGTTGATGATAATTTGCAGTAATCTGAAGATTTTCTTTCCCCAAGTTTAGTTCACAAAATATTTCCGTATATTTCACAGATTATTTTTTTTTAAGGAATAAGCAAACGGTTTAAAAGCTTATCCACAAAAGAACAAAACTGAGGTAAAAGTTGACCTAGAGGATAAGTAATTTTATCTTGCTTTCCTATTAACAAAATTAAATTCAAAACCATTCTGTTTATTAAAGACATATAGGCATAATAACAAGTCATGAAACCAACTTCTTAACAGTCTTTAAACATAACAGAATTGATATACACAATTAAGTTTCATTAAGTACAGATTTAACATATGTATTTCAGTTTTACTTTATATTCCCTTTAGACCAACACCTCCAACACTCATACACAATATTTAGGCTGCCCCAAGCAATCAACAAGGACTTTGTAAAGGCTCTAACAAAACTCCATCTTAAACCAGTTTGAAATATTCATCAATGTAGAAAAAATTTAACAAAGAAAAAAGGATGTGTTCAGTGGAATCTAAGCAAGTTGTCGGATGTACTGAAAGTCAGAGGTTCAGTACGTAGAGGTAGCTCAGTAGGGGTACTTGCAGTGTTTTGACTATTTAGCATTGACACAACCACAGTAAGCTACTGTATGCTTGAACTCTTCCTATGTATTTAAAAAAATTGAGCACTCTTTCTGGGCCTGTTGCTTTGCTATTCAAAACCAACAGAAAGAGTCATCAATTTCAGTGGGATTGGGATTAAGTCCTTATATACTCTGGAAGTTCAGGTTTATGGAAACAGAACAAAAAGAAACTGTCCCAGGTCAGAACTCTCCGCTGCAAGCAGGGTTTTTAAGCCCAGACAAAGGCATTTTTTCCCACATGGAGCCAGTTACTGGTTAGCATGCTTATGGAAGGGGAACCTCAAATTTGGGCCAATGCATGCTGTCCTCCAGTTACCTCGCGGGTTGGCCTGTTGGTGGATCTGACTATGCTCTGATCAAAAGTGTGAGCTCACTGCCCACTGCCCTTTGCATCAGTGGCTAGTGAGGAGAGAGCACAGCCCTGGGGGACACGGGTGGTGGGCAGAGTCCCCAGCCCTCCCGCTGCTCATTCCCCTGCAGGGAATGAAAGAATTCAGCATGTTGCCACCTCACATACCTCCGTTACGTAGTCATTTTATTGGTGATGACAATTCTGAACCAAGTGACGCTGTCAGCTCCCAGTTGTTTCTCATACAGATGGCAACAGAGCGGTCTTGCACCGACTGACCGTCAGGTAAAGCACCGACAATTGGTACCAGGCTACTTTCCTGTTGTTCACAGGACTAACAGACTAGACTAGGTAAACCAAACACAGTATTTTTCACTAAGGCAGAAGAATATGAATTTCATATGCCTATTGTCATATGAAAGATCTTTAGCTTGTGTAAATGGCGGTAGCCATATCAGAGCTATGATAATTTACATCTGCTAAAGTTCTGCTCCTAGGTGTTTGCACGCACGTGCACCAAGGCAATATTTACCATGACACACATGAAACTTCTGCATTTATATTGATCCCAGTTTGACCTATTTCTTTCACTCCTTTTAATGTTTTACTGCACAATTGCCAGCACAGTTTTTTTCAGTTGGGTACACCTCAGAGTCTGGACTAGAGCATGCTTCTGAAATCGTCATCTCCCAGACAAGATGCAGTGCTGGCTATATGTTTAAATATACGCCTGCGTTCCTTTCTCTTCAACACCGACATTAGAAATAGTACTTTGTATTCTTTTTCTATATAATTTTATTTAAAAGAGTAACATTTTATTTTTTAACAAGTTGTGACTGATTGTCAAATAAGCTAAGATAGCATCTCTGTTACTGTAAGGATCCTTTTAATTGGGGAAAAAAAAAAATAGTCAACTTCCTTGTCCTCACAAGCTGTTATTCATTACCAATGCAGCAATATAGAAAACATAGCTTGGCTTACTACAATAAAGACTCTGTTTCAATATTAGCATCCTAAATTCTGTCACTGCAGATCTCCGTGCATTGCACGGGGAGAAGGTAAAGGAGAAGAAAAAAGAAAAACAAAAATTTGTGTTCTTCAGGGGTAAATTATAAAAGATCTCCTAGTTGCAAACACAAATACTTCACTCATAACCCAAACACCAGACCATTTCTTTGAAGAAGCTTATGAGGCATTTAAGATATACAATGGCACAATATCATACAATGGAATTGAAAGAATTTTTTTGAGAAACCATTAACTTTGAAGGAATGTCTAGACAACTGTGTCAACAAATGCAAATAATTCATGCTTCTCAGCTTCTATCCAATGGATGGCCCCATGCTGAGTATACACAAACTCAGAAGAAAAAGGCATGTCACAGTCATATGACTAGGGAGTGTAACAGAGTCACACAGAAATTCAAGTCAATCTTGGAAAAAAAGAACCTTCAGAAAGCTCTTCCCCAGGGTAAGCCAGCAGTGGGATAGGCTTCTGGTCATTTTGGCTAGTTTAAAACAGAGACATACAGCTGGTGCACCCTGGCTTCAAAGCAGGGGCAATGGAAGAAACAGCTGTTAGTCACAATCGTTCACTCAGTTAGAAAAATAAAAACTAAAGGACTCCAAAATACTGTACAACCTCTTGCTGTAACCAACAAAGTGGTTCTGGAAACAATGCTTTTGCCAAAAATGCATCTGTAAGGCACTTAACAGGTATCTTTTTAATATATATATATTTTTTTATATATATAAAAATAAAATATGCACTGAAGCAACATTCACAAATACCCAGTTGTCTCAATTGTCTGTGTGTACAGTATAGTACATATATACATTCACTGTGACACAGGCCATCTCCATAATTATACCTTCGCGGGTGTTTTGGGCTGCCTGGTTAACTTCAGTGCCTGTGAACAGTAAACAAAACAGTCACTTTTTTATATTGATAAAAGACAATCAACAGCACAAGAAAAGATTTTTATTTATAAGGGGCAACAAAATGCTGTGGGTACTTCTGGGAGGCTAAATGAGGAGTCAGCATGCGGGTGACAGGCTGCTCTGGGTTTTGTAATGATGTTTTTATCTCTGATAGCCCATCACAACCTCATACATAGATAGCCTTAACAGAGGAGCCACAAGAAACACGGCTACAGTGCCAGTGAAGGAAGCAGAGGTGGGTCTCAGATGTCTTTCAGAAAGTCTTTATTTGGACCCCACTCAAACCACTTGTGGCACAGATACAAGAGCTTCTGACCCACTTAGGGAACGACTGTGAAGAAGAAAATTTCTGCCAACACCTTTGTGCTGCCTGTCCTCCTCAAAGCCTGCTCAGAGTACACTCACTGCTGCAGCAGTGGATGTCATGCACCTCTGATGTTTATACCTTCCTTTCTGAGAAAAGGTAAGAATAAGCCAACATACGTCAGTCCAGAGGTGATCTTATGCCGGGGACACCCGACGTCGTTGTAGCTCTAGTCTACTCTTACTGAGGAGGAGAGAAACCACATGCCTTTATTTGATGGCAGGGTCCAGCTCTCTGTTCCCCACGAGGCTGGCCAACTATACCGGCTGAACTATTTATTCAGTGTGTGACAGAAGCCCAACTCAAGTGATAGCTGAGCGTGCTTCTCGTTTGGCAGGAAGCAGCCTCTCTAACTTAGGAGGCAAATGTGACAGGCTTACAAGGTGTTAGGTTTTCAGCTGCTCCTGTATGGCGATGTGGTCACTGTGAAGGATGCCTGTTGCTGGTGTGCTCTGCAACAAAAAAAGCTCAGGGCTTTCTTGTATGGGACAAATCAGCCTGAGTGAGAGGGAAATTAATGACATTTGCAAATTCCTGAAATTTGGATCCTCTGTTTTCCTTAGCCTTTTGGGTGAAGTGTCCTGACAGACCAGCATTTGCCTGCTGAGTGAGACATTTATCATTTCTGGAGGGTTGGCTAAATAAGTAATTTTCAGTCTGAGAGATGTCTGAGGGGTCTTCTTATTGTAGATATTAACCTTTAATATTGTACATTTAAAACTTGTAAGCACTGCTTGAAAAATGCTCCAGCACAAATGTAAACCCTTAAAAAAATCCAAACCTTTAAAAATAAATAGGCTATATTCCCCTCAGAAACACCAGCTTTCAGAAATACCAGCATTTAACTATTGTTAAATCTAGCCATTTGAGATTAGTCTTTTGGATATTATTCAGCAGGAGACTTTGGAGAGAGACATCGTTCCACATTTGGTTTGGGGAAACAATTTTTTAACTTTGTAGTTTGGCAGATTCTGATGCCATATTTACAAACTCAAAATACCTTAGTGTAGATGAACCTCTAAATATTTAAATTCAATTTCATACAACCAGATCACATGTACTATCATAATTAAAGTAAGAATGTCACTGCAGTTGAGTACTGTGACTGGATAACCGTCTCCCCCTGCAAGAGAGATGCCAAAATGAAGCCAAGGTGTTTATAGAAAATAAACATCAAGGGTGATGATGACATGTTTATTTTCAAAGCGGGAGACCATTATCCAGTCACAACATTCACTTCTATTATACTTACGGCAACTGTACGAGACCCAACCCCATTGATTTTTTTCAAAGAGTAATTAAAATAACATTTGTGAATAATACAGAAGACCAACTGAAGAAACTGCTGCAACAGAACAACAATCCCCCAAAGTGGTTCTACAGTAACATTACAGTCTGATTAGCACAGGAGGTTTATTTGATGCTTAATGAATAAGAAACTAGTGCTGGTGAAGTGTGAATCTCTCCAATACTGCTTGACTTTTCTAATGCCCTGTTTGAAGCCTGTGTTAACTTGCAGCAACTGACGGCAGCCCCTAAAAGCCATTACCACCCCTGAGGATCAGGGAGGTCTCAATAAGCTCCAGCCCCGCTCCTGGTTTTGGCAGTAGGGAAGTTAGATGCTGAAGAGAAGCCAGCACTGCAGGGATCCTTCTGTCACCAGCAGTATCAACTTTAGGCTATCTTTCTGCAGGAATAGCATGGAATTTTCTTTACACAACCTGCAATGCCTCCTGATAATTTCTGATTTTAAAAAAATCATGACTTTCATACTGATGGAGAAATGACATATGATTCTCAAATTTCCATTTTTAAATGCTGAGGTAAGTGTATCTTAACACCGTCTGATTTCTGGTCTCAGTTCCTGAAAATTGAGAGTTTTCATGCTTTTTACAAATCAGGTGATCAAAGTGGAGCCACATAAAAATCACTGATTTGGGGAAATTTTAGCATTCAAGATAGCATGGTGACTTTAGTGGAGTGAAGCTAGTAAAATGGTGGCCTGATGGGTTTTGCTGAAAATTGGAAACATGGAAGTTATCAAAAAAAATTTCTCCACTGACAAGTGGAGAATGCAGGGTACTAGTGGCGCTGGGCTTCCCACAGGAGGTCTCAACCTTCACCCAAAATTGGCTGTCAAAGACTGATTCAGTTGCCACAGCTTCTTGATCCTCAACACAGAACATTAAAGACAGCATTAAAATCAGTTGCACGGACTATTTTTCTGTGAGGTGGTTACTACTGTTCTGAGTACCTGACTAAAACCATTGCAGTTATTTCATACAGATCACAGAATGGCTGTCAGATGTCAATAGCTTCAATTTGTACTGAAATAAGCATAATTTGAATCAGTGATGTCGATGCAAAAACCTCCAGGTTATAGTCTATCCTACAAGCTATCCCATGCCATAATTTTGGCATGAAATGTGATGCACCAGACTCCTGTAGACTTCTCTCTATTGTAAAGGGTGACCCAAGTAGAAAAAAAGTTATCATCCTGCTTCAATTCAGTTCAGTTCAGAAAGTGCCCTCCTTTTACCTCATTTCTCCAACTCCCATGCTAGCGGACAGATTTTTATCACTGCTCCATAAGGAAGAGCCAAGCTGTGCTTATTAGCTAAAGATGGAGCCATTCTTATTGAGCATAATCTGAATTAATAATTTGAATGAATTCATAATTTGAACTAATTGTAGAGGTCTAACTTCAAGATTTGAACCTTTCAAGAGCCAAAGGAGATAAAGTTCAGGATTTTTAATTTGATACTACTGTGGCTATCACTGTCACAACTGAAGTAAAGAAACAGAAAAATCCCTACCATGGGATCTCCAAGAAGGAATTTGAGGAGTTTAAGATATGTGTTTAGTTTTTTTTTTTTTTTAACCTCACAGCCCACTTTCCATTATAAATCAAAACAAGCAATTCTTACCTTTTGCCTAGAAACCATCCAAGATTTTATTGTTGGTACCAACAGACTGCCAAGAAGAATCTGAGCAGGATGATAGATGAGTAAGGGGACAGAAATTAAGGACAGGTGCTCATAACCCGCAAATACTATCTTCAGCATTGGAATCCCTGTGGGCAGAAAAACAGGATACAGACTCTCACCTCAGACTCTGAGCTCCAGATAAAAACAAAGCATTTTATGTTGTATTGACATTTCACCAGGAAAAAAAAAAAAACAAAAATAAAAACAAAACAAAACTCAAAAGAAACAAAATGAGCACTCAGAAGTTTATATAAAAAAAACCAACCCAAACAAACCAGCAAGAACATGAACAAAAAAATACACAGCAGAGAAAGTTCTGTGGCAGAAAGGAAGGAGTAGGGGAATGCCATAAAAGATCTTTTCTAATTATGCTAATAGCTGTCAAACTCCTGCTGAAGGCTTAATATAAAATACCTTCTGCTGTAGCATGACTGTTCAGTTGCTGAGCATAGTTCTGTACTGCTTATTTACTACCTCTTCTCACTGTGCTCTTTTTTGTGTTTTCATGATTGTCCCCCATCCAACCTGCCCGACTCCTGCCCGTAACCCCTCTTCAGTCCGTTCGCCACTGGAGGAGGGTTGTGTTTTCCTGGCATGCTCCCGGCCAGTTGGTGAGTACCCAAATGGCAGCCTTCCTGGCCTTGACTGATTCATGCAGTCAAGGTAAGAGAGTCAAGTACTCTGCAGGTGAGCACTCGTGTGTTAGAGAACAAAACTCTCTGCTCTACCCATATGTTTCAGAAGACACACAGCATAAGAGAGAAAAGGTTTAGTGAACTGAGTGAGCAATGTGAAGCGGTCATGCCTAGGAAGAGTTAGGGATCAGCCGGAGTACAGAAGTTGCTAGATGCTGGAAGAAGTGAGTGCTTAGACCTAGAGATGGGCCATTTTTCCTAAGGGCTTGAATTTGCACTCAACAGTGCTAATGCTATTAGACATCTCCATGCATAATCCTCCCACTTGATGATGTGATATGAAAAATTAAATTTTACTTAGTTTTGCAGCAATGAAACCGATTATGTTTACTTTGAACATGTTATTATTCAAAATTATCTCTTTAAATCTTGGAACTTTGCTCCCATGTTCCACAAAGCATAGGTGTGGGCAAAACTTCCAACCATCTCTGTCTTGCCTGAACAGACATTTGCATAGTCACCAAAACGAGCAGCTGCGATTCCTCAGGAGCCCCCTGAGAACACACCTTATTTTCTCCCTCATCTTAAATGTCATTCTAGGAGTCTTCTGCCAGCATCAACCTTGCAGCGAAGCAGACTACACACAATTTTCACAGAGCTCATCTGTGTGTCTCCCTTCTTAGCAATGACAAAAAGCTGAGCTCTGTGTCACATGCCCTCCATTCCCCCATTAGTAGGTGTTTCAGGTCAACCGAAGTTGCCATGTTTACATGAGCTTTTCTCTACATCTTGGATAAATTCCCGTTCTCAGCCCTTTAAGGTTTCCCTTAATAAAAGTTGCCTCCTCTGTATATGAGGAAACAGCTCGTTTGTTGAATATTACTGGTCCACCAGTGTCCCACTCTTGCTGACACACATCTAGTCTTCCTGAAATCTTCACGTTTCCACAGCACCATTTCTTGTAATTATTTTGATTAGCTTCATCACATTATACCACTAACAACCTCATCCCCATACTAGTAGCCTTTACTTACGTGGATATTTCCAGGGAAAGATTAAGTCAAATAAATAAAGGCTTGTGTGCTTCATTTCAATATTGTAATTAACTTCAAAACAACATCATGGACCTACCACACAATAGGGCTGCTTATTGTTAACACCAATTTCTAGGGTTTGGGAATAGATAGTATTTAGGCATTTGCATTATATTAAGGAGTGCAATTTACTTCAAATGCCCATCATACTGTTTTTGTAAACAGATAAAGGTTTTATTGCCTGTTTCCAAGTCTCAAATTTGTGGGTCCTTTTCTGTTCTCTAACCACAGAAAAATAAACTAGAGTTTCAAGCTATGAACATGCTGTATTCATGTTCATAAGACAGTACCTGGTGTTTTGGTAGTGCAATTTCATCCATAGATCCAAAACACTTTAGTAATCCGAACAGGACTCCTACAGAGAATCAGAGAGCACTAAAATGACTAGCCTAAGATCACACAGAAAACTAACAGCAGAGATGTGAACAGAATGGATCCAGAGTGACTGAGACATGCTGTAAATTACTGTACATTTTCTGAAAAAAAAAAAAAAAAAAAAAGAAATTCTAGCCTAAAAGGTAAATTCTCTAGAGGAAAGCTATTTCAGTAAACTAGGAAGAGAAAATTAAAGTTGTCAAATATAAATACAAAATACTATAATTAGTGTGACAATATAATTAGATCACTGGGTAGAAAGAGGTTCTTAATTCACAGCTTGTTTAAATACATGTCACAACAATAGGTTTCTGTAAGCAACTAATGTGCAATTAAAGTTCCTGTTATTTACCAGGGAAAACTAACTGGTGAAAAGAAGAAATAATAATAATTTCTCCAGGTAAGCATAAGTTCAATGGAAAGAAAAAGCCCTGTTGCCTTTTTATGCACTTTCTGACTTTTGTAAATCCAACTTTGCCAGTATGCAACTCTCTCAGAAAATATTTCATGGCAGAGATCCACAGACTACAGTCATAAATGCTTGTGTCAGTAATATTACCACAAAGCTAAACAAAACGGCATGGTTTTTATTTATTTTTTTAAATGTTGTCTAAATTTTTTCTGTAGAAATACATAGTAACTGCAAGCATCAGTATGACTGCTAATGTTTTCCAAATACATAAAACTCATGCAATTTCCTAATTAGGAAAAAGATTTTAATAGTTACTTTTCCCTCTCTTAAAAAATAAATAATTGTATTTATATATATAAAACATTGGAAAAAACAAACAAACAAACAAAATGAAAACCAAACCCCAACCAAAGGAAGAAAAGTGACATTATAATGCCCAGGCTGATGCTGTATGCCCAATCTTAGCCTGTAATGCATTTTCAAGATGAGATTATGAACTAGCACTAAGAGAAGCTATAACAGAAATACTGACTGAACTGGTAGTGACATGAATAGGTGCAGTTGTAACAAAACAAAGTGAGTGAGATTAGTTTAAATCTTTCAGATAGATAGCAAGGAATGAAGGTGCTAAGCAAAATGGATATGGTTATCTTTATTTTAGGCTGTCCACTCCTCTTTTCCTCATCTTTTATAGCATATTTCTTCCAGTTCTAAGTAGCATAAGGAGTATGATAGCTACGCTAAGTCTAAGATAAATAAAATTTTGCACAGGATCAAATCACATCTATTAAAGCCGGGACCACTACCTTAGTCTGAAGTTTCCTCAAAGTACACAGTAGCATCTTCTCCCACCCCCCATTATTAGGGTATTTATTTGCCATCTGGAGCATTAAGGCTGCATTCACACATATGAGGAATAATGCCCATAAGGACTTTTTGTTTTCACAGAGCCGTTAATCATGCTTATCTGCACTTCACGGTAATTGGACTGACTTCGATGGGTCTTCATCTTGACTGACACTGGAGGAGGAACACTGGCATTATCAGTTTATAGACAACCTTTTCGTTAAGTTTTAAGACTGCTGTCATGGTCTGAAGGCTCACAACCCTAAACTCCCATTCATGTTGCTGCAGTTTATGAAGTTACAGGCTTCCAGCAGCTTGGTTCAACTCCTCTGCCAAAGACCCTCACTCACTACCTATCACGAGACCTGAATGACAAAGCGCTACTCTGTGGTTTGGTGCCAACTTGGGCAGCTTTGCTCAAAGTAGGGGTGTAACAAACTGTTGAGTTGCCAAAATCTTTTAAACAGCCGTATTGCATGGGTGTGTACCCAACTGCTGGATCAGAGCTGACCAAACACCCTGACAGGCACAAGTCAGGGTTGTATCCCATCCTCCTCCAAAGAAAGAGGAAATGCGGTACCCACCTGGGTGAGAAAACAGCACCTCACCTGACCAGGACTAGAGAGGTGAGGCAGAAGGGAGGAAGCACTGAGATCATCCCACTGATATCCCTTACAATCACTGGTATTCCCAAGCTTTTTACCCAGAATTTCCCTCTTCCCCTTTGTTTGGCTGTGCTTCTCCAACCAGTGCTACCTCATGTTCCCATCTTCCTCCTTCCTCTCTGGCTGCGGTACCCAGAGGCTCTTTATTCTTTTTCTATTTTCTCCCTTCCTCCTTTCTCCTCCTCTTCTCTACTCCCATGCATCTAGCCTGCTTGGGTTTGTTTCCCAAGACCTTTGATTCTGCTCTCTTGCAGCAGTGTAAATTTGGGGTACTTCTACTAAGATCACTAAGCTCCACTATGGGCACTAAAATCACAGTTCCTCTGAAACCGAGAGAAGTTAGTTAGGCCTGTGTCATGGATTACATTTAATTTTTCTCCCTGCTTGCATCCTCACTCAGCCCATTTCACATAAGACCTTTGCAAATCCTAGCTAGCAAAAGAAAAGCTGTTTATCCATGACCTTTGACAATGGCAAGGACGAGTGAGAGAACTGCTCTTACAGTCTGGTATAGGAAATCCCTGTTTGCTCTCCATTGCTCCAGGGTATTCCAGTTTGGCTCCAAGGCTGTGGTTTGTCAGTCCTGGTCAAAGGCCACCGTTTCTCTAGTAGCCTGCACAACTGAAAGCTATTTACCCTTCCTCCAGCTTTGCACCCAGTATAACCTCCCACATCTTCCCCTTTCCCCTTTGCTACTTTTACATTTTGTAATCACCTTCTTAAAAGACCCATGAAAATATTATGCTGCACTTCACTACATTTAGTTAACTGTAAAATAATAATAATAAAAAATCCTAAAATATTTGAAGGTATTTTTAAGAGAATTTAAATATAGGACTCTTTTCATCTAGCTATCACTGCAGTAATATAAATGAAGCAAATTAATTTTAATGCTCCAAGGTACTGTTTCTGTGTCACTGTCACTGACAGGATCCAACTAGACTTTATGAGATGGCATTTGACTTTATGGAAGTGAGCACTATGCACGCATTTACAATTTTACAGGGACTTTAAGCTGTCATGCTGAAAAATGTTTATAAAACATTAATCAAAAAATGC